CCCGTCAGACACCATTTCACACATGCTCCTGAGTTCACACGCCGGGCTTTGACCCAAAGTTTAATGGCATTAATGTGTTGCTCGGAAGCCAGGCAGCAAACAAAACCCCGACTACCCCTATGGCACTAATCAATTCACTAATTACTCCCAACAACTACAAGTTGATTCTTGATTGAAATGTGAAATCAATGTGCATTCTTCTCATGGGTGGACCTGATTTACCTCCAGTAAACATTAACTATAAGAGTTTATGGGCTCAGTCTCCAGTTTCACGTCTTCTGCAATGTAGCATGGTGATCATTTGGTAGATTTGGGACTAAAAATGGACAACAACTCAAGTCAGGTTTAGAACAGGGCTGTATGAGAAAGACAAGTTGACAAAAAAAAGAAAACAACAGCTCTACATTTTCCTAGTCATAGTCCTCAAAAAAACGATGCTAGGACCAGGGAACAAAAATAAGGCTCAAACAGACTTTCTGGTGGCCTTGAATATGCTAACTTCAATGTATTATCACTTGTCCTGTATCTTTTACTACTACATCTATACATTTGGGGAGTTTGATCTAAATTCTTCAGTATTATCTTCCCAGAGAAAAACACAGTCACAGATCAGTAATAACTCCATCACATACAGCTGAAGAAATAAACAGAATCAGCCCCTATCTTCAACCAGTGCATCTTTCTAAACATATTTTGGGACATTAGAGGGGAGAGAGTCAATGCATTTGTTGACTCTATCTTATTTATCTGTCTCTGTGTCTCTATCTCTGCAACACACCATCCCTCAACCGTGTCCGACGCTGACAGCCATGGGTAATGACAGTCGAACGCTCACTTGCTCCTCATTTACTCGGCGCTAGCAGTGAAACCGTTCGCTCAGAACTCTTAAGTGCTTGTTAATTTAATATGCAAATAAGTCTCTTGTCAATCTGAACACATTTTAATGAAAAAGCTCTCGCTTCCACCGGGGAGGGGGCTGCTGCAGGTTGTCTGTGAGATGTGAAAAAGGCAGGTTGCAGGTAAAAGAGAGCACAGACAGAAGGTGAGGTTGAAACTTAGGAGTTAAACATTAAGTGCGTCAACATGGGCTCGAGTGTCCTGGTTATGACCCCTAACCCCCTTTTAATCGTATTCAGAATATGGCATTTACCTTCACATGGAGATACCTGGTTATCTATTCCTGTGTGCATAATAAATACATGTATTGTGCTTCCTCTGATGTTATACTTTGTAACACAAACCATGCTAATCGTGAATCTAAAAATTGTTTCAAGCGATACAAACTATGGTAAAATAACGATTATTTTCTTAATAAATGCTTTATTTTATCATATATGGGCAAAAAAACATTTTAAAACAGAAGCATGTTTACCATCATGACATATTTTCTACATAGTCTACATAGTCAATGTAAATCTTGTTCTGTTTTGAATGATGTAAACTAAGCCGATCAGTTTCTGAGAGTGTCACAATGTGAACACAAAAACTAAAGGGAGGGCCCAAATGCAGAGTTTAAATAATTTTATCAAATAAAAGACCAAGCTAGGAACGAAAAAAAATCCTACTTTTCAAAAGAGTCCAACAGAAAAGTCCAAACGAAAAAACCGAGAAGCAAAAAATCCAAAGACGCAAAAGACACTGGGTATAACGAGCTGGGTAACGAGAGACAGGTGTGACACTATGACACAGGTGCAGACAATCACTGAGGAGGGAAAAATACAGGAAGTGAAACTAAACTTGACACACAGGGATAGACTACTACAAAATACAACAGGAAGTCACATTAAACCAGAGACACAACACTCTTAAAAACATTGGGTTAAAAACAACCCAATTTGGGTAGTTTCCCAACCCAGCGCTGGTTAAATATTGGACAGAACACATGCTGGGTTAAAGTCTCCTCGCTTCAGCAGTTGTGGCATCAATCTGGTGAATGGGTGATGCTTGGTTTCAAATGCCCGAATGTCTACCCAATGTGTTGGGTAGTCCACAATAAACCAACAATACTAGAAATTAAAACCCAACAGCTAAAAACTCTGTTCCCAACATAAAACCTTGCGAATTGGGGACTCAGAATACCCAACTCCATGAAAATAACCCAAATAAATTGACCAACAGGCTCAACCTAGTGGTTGGGTTGAAAAAACAACCCAGCATTTTTTTGTGTGAAGGATAAGGGACTACAAAATAAACTAGGATATACGGAAAACTAAATACAAGAACAAACAGAGAAACACAACAGGAACATGAGAATAAGTGACACAAAGGGAACTGGAACACTAGGAATAAATACACAGTAAATTAAACTCAATAACTAGGAAAAAAACTTAGTGAACAAGAACTTATCATGACAGGCTGCACTCTTACCTAATGAAGTCACACCTTACTGAGGGGGTGAGAGGAAAGGATACGGAAGAGAGAGAAGCAGGATGTGTGGAAAGGAACAAGAATCTGTGTGACTCTGAGCGGGAAAGTATTTTGTAGACTGAGACAAAAATTTGATTTCAGTGAAATCATTTGGAGGTCAGAGTGCAGTCAACTCAGTGTTTATTTTGTATTCTGTAACATGACGTTTCAGCTAGCTTGTGAGTGACAGTCCGCTGTAAACACCTGCTGAAGTGTCGTCAAGGATAGACAGACCAAATATCCCCCTGTCTTCTCTTACCTGGTGCATCTTACCTGGCTGTGGCTGCAGTACCTTCTGCACGTGGATTGTCTTGCTTGTGCGAACAACTGAAGCTGTTCTTGTTGATGGACTTTGTGAACTGGGTGTTTAAGAAGAGAAGTATTTTCTTCATAACTGTTTTTATTTTTGTAATCCCGTTAGCCTCTCGCCAATGTTGTTGCCAATTGTTTGGTGTAAGACGAAATTGGTTAACCTAAAGAGGTCTCAGCAGTAACAACAGAAAAATGGCTCAAGACCTAACCATCCATGTTAATGTAATGATTTTGTTTCAGATTCTTTACGGTGGCAAAAATAGTGTTTCTCAAAACCAGCATAAGGAGTATCCTTGCTTCTGAAATCAGGGTAAGGATGCAAAATAAATCCAGATGAAAAGGAGAATCTTAAGTAAATCCGATCAAATATCCACATCCATGTAAATGCACACACTGAGGTACAGAGAATGAACGCAAAGACGGTATGTACGAAATATGCATAGAGGCTGGTTGCAGCCCGAACATGCATAACATAGAGAGATGATGGCGCTGACACCTCATCTTTGACCTCCTGTGATTTGTTTCAGGCAGTTTTACTGGAAGAAAAGTGCTTCAGAACACAGTCAGAGGTTATAAAAAGGAGCAAACATGAGCATCTGCCTGCACAAACATGATAGAGAGAAACACACACACGATCATCCTCTCATATCTTTCTTTTAATGATAGACCTTAGCACAACCTTTGCCTTCATATGGGTGTGCAGAAAGTAAGGTGAGCGTGTTATTGGGAAGGTTGGGGGTGGATTGCAGGCAGTGTTAAGTCAAGCAGGAACCCTCAATGTTGCTAATTTATTTACAGATTTAATTAGATGGATAGAGCCCTCACAGATATAAGAAAGAGAGGAGAGATGTTGCCAGCGTTACAGCACTTTAATTATGGTAGCAGGCTCCTGATCCCTGCGCTCTGCTGTCTGGGGAGCCAGTTAATTAAAATCCTCATTATTTTACTTTTAATTAGTTCCCCCCTCTTTTGTTTCCTTTCACCATATGGCCGTGTTCCGTGGTCAAATTAACGTAATTGAGCTAATTAAGCCGATCACTTTAATTATTCAAAGCGTTCCGATTGGCCAGGAGAACTTTTCTCCCTCTCCCCTCCCTGACATTCCTGTATGAGGCTCGGAGTTGTAAAGTCGCTCTCTTTGTCATTATGCTGCTCTGCTGCCTTGCTGAGTTATGGCTGCAACATGCCTTGCTTCCTACATGTTCCAGCAGCGTCTCATGTTTCACTCACATACAATGCGGGGTATGCGGTGCAGCCTCAGCCAGTTCAAAAGGGATTCAGGAATCATCGGAACATTTAACACACTATGGTTATAACAAATTAGCTGTGTGTTGGTTGTTGTCATCTGGTGCTCGGGGATTGGAGCTACCATAAATAGCTTAGGCAGGCCGAGCAGCTTTCAGAGGGATTGTCAGCACAGCTAAATGCCATCTTTCTACACACGACCATTGCATTTACATGCTTAGGTTTTGAAAACGGTGACGACCAGATGGCGGTTTTACTGCAAACGTACTTACATTGAGCTAAATGCCTTAGGGTGGACAAGACCTGTCTATCAGCATTCATCCACAAACTACTCACCTAACCTCTCTGATATCTCTCACTATCAGCTCCCTTACATATTTTCTCAGGCATTTGGAGTTAGTCATGTTTTTAAAATCTTGTACTTTAACTGTTTGATGGTACTTGTGATGTGACAAAGTGCAGTTTGTAGTTCAACAATCTTCCTGTTTTAACATCCATATAAAATCTCTGAAAATTCTCAAACAGGATGTGTGTATTGTGTCTTTGTCTGTTTGGAGTTTAGATAAATGAGTGATAAAAAACATCATAGCTGCCAAGACCACGCCAAACCTGACCAAAGAAACATGGGATTCAGACAAAGTTTAGTTCATACCATAACTCTGCTAAAGTTTAGCACTGTTGCAACAGTGATGAGTTAAAACTGGAGGAATGATAATTTTGTCAGCTGTAGATGAATTTGATAAATATTTTGTAAGTTCTCTGACTGCTTATCTAATTTTCTGAAACTAATTTTTCTTGTTTTTCATTGAGTCACCCAACTATTTCTAAATTTATGTTGCGTATTCTTTGTCAACTGTATTTTTTTTAGGGTCTTAAACCTCATACCACAGCCAAATATGCCGAAAAAATAGTATTTGCAACTTGTCAAAGTTATTTGAGAAACGTTGCTGCTTCTAGCTTCCCAAATTACTTCCTTATTGTGCAGTTATTTATTCTTCTTGTAACACCAAAAACAAGAGGAAAAACCTGAGACTGGATTTGGAATAGGAAGCATAAGTGACATTTATTTTGACTGTAGCTCAAAGCTCCCTTTAATGCTCTTTTTAATGTATCTGATTTATTGGCAGCTCTGAAAGCATACAGCTAGAACATCATTTTTTGTTTTTTGTTGAGGCAGTTGATAGTTACTGAACTCCCCTGTTAAAAACATGGGCATGCAAACCTTATATGCAGTGAAAAACAGTAACTAATGGTCAGCTTAATGTAAACACTAATTCCTCGTATCTGGAAAATCATAAACACTTGTCAAGTTCAGTGTCAAACACCTGATTCTGATTAGTGGAAACCCTATAATAAAGGCAATTCATTCTCAATAACAAAAGTGAAACCAGGGTTATGTCAGATCAATCCACAGGAAAGGGTCCTGCATATTTCACCTCTGTCTGTTGACACTGAGGCAAAAACATTTGTTGGCATTCTCGATTGGAAAACCTTGGAGCAAAAGAATATGTGTCCACATCAACCTGGTCATGAGATTGGGGAAATAAGTGGGCACAGATGTGAGAGCAGCCCAAGGAACTCTTGGGCCCCCAACTATCTCTCATAATGGAAAAAATGGAACAACTTCTTGTCCTGCAATCTAGGCAATGGCAGAAGTAATTTAACCTTAGGCATTAGTGAGAGTAGCAACAAATTGCGTTCAACAAATAAAAATGATTTCTACATTTATAGTCATGTCAAGTAACTGCTCTATTTTTCTCCCCAAAACTCCCCCTGCATGAGTCACATTGAGACTTTTAAATTTTAATGCGAGTATTGTCAGAGAAGAGGACATTCATGAAAAAGTCACTCCAAAAGTGGATGGAAATAAAAACAGTCTGTGAGGTCGGGAAGCGAGAGTAAAGCTAAAACAACTCTATATGTTCTGCTAAGAAATGCCAACTGAGACACAGGAGGGGTTGGGGGTCAAATATCTGGTATCGGCAAAGTGTCCTGGTTCATCCAGTCACAACTAGAAGCACAACGGTTCACACCTGGACAGATTAAGCATATGCAAAGGAATTTGGAGTGATCAGGCACTGGTCCATATTCTGAAACTTCTACTTAACGACTACTTAACTCGTTCCCAGAGTATTCACAACCCAGCTGTGTATTATTACTTACTTACTTAGTCCATATAGGAAACTTAGCTTAAAGGGATGTTCCGGCGTAAAATTAAGTTAGGGTCAAAAACACCGTAACACAGAGTTAGACACCCCCTCGAGAGATGAATATTGCTGACTGCTTGCTTCTCTAGTTATACCAACTTCAGAAACGACCGCACGATAGCAATACACAATGATCTACCACTCCACATGCAAACCTCAACCAAAATGCCACTCTATAGTCACAAATAATGTTCAGAACAGCACCTAACTTCATCAACAGTACATACAGGGTCCCAGCCATACTACTAGCCATCAAACATCTTTTTGGCTCTGTCTAATTTCTTTAGCAAAGAGACCAAACACAACTCACCCACTCTCTTCCAGCAGCTACTTGTATGTAGGAAGACTTCGGACGAGTCTATCACCAACTGCAGTGGGTGACGCAGCTCAAGGAAGAACATTTATGATCATTTCTTTATCATTTCCTTGACGTAATAATCATCATATTAATCATTTTGCACTGCAGATGTGGTAGTTCTTCTGCCTTAGCGTCTCAGTCTGATTGCATTTCCATGAGGAAATGATCATAAATGTTCTTCCTTGAGCTGCGTCACCCCGCTGTAGTTGGTAATGGACTGGCCCGAGGTCTTACTACAAAAGAAAATCAGGCAAAAACTAAAAAGATGTTTGGTGGCTTGTCCTGTGGCTGGGACCCTATATGTACTGTTGATGAAGTTAGGTGCTGTTCTGAACATTATTTGTGGCTATAGAGTGGCGTTTTGGTTGAGCGCGTGGCTCCTGGGACCGCTGTGTATTGCTATCGTGCAGTCGTTACTAAAGTTGGAATAACTAAAGAAGCAAGCGGTCAGCAACATTCATCTCTCGACAGGGTGTCTTACTGGGTGCTATGGTGTGTTTGACCTTAACTTAATTTTACGCCGGAATATCCCTTTACATCGTACCCAAGTTATTCACAACCCAGCTGTACTTTGTCCATGTATAGGAAACTTAGCTTAAACAGTAAAGAAATTTGAATTTATCAATAAAGACACTTCAAATTATAGTATAGAGAATTCAGAAACTCAAAATTTAAAACCGAATGTTTTTGAATGTGAATGTTGATGTGAACTGATTCTCTCACTCTCCTACTGTTCACATCTGGTGACCAAAACAAAAAACTGGCCGGTCACAGGGATGTGTAAGCCAGCAAACACACTGTCTGAGTCCAGAGAGCCTTTGGCTGACAAACCAGCAGCTCATCATTAGAAAGAGCCAGGACGAAGGAAGGAAGGAAGGCAGCCATCTTGGATCTATATCACAAGAGTGTCTGGGTTAAGAAAGAGGCTTTTTGGGTCTTCTTCCTCTTCATCATGAGTGTGTAAAAATATCCTGGCATCATCTTATGTCTTCACACAGTGTGAGGTGGAGGAGCGCAGGCAATTACACTCATCTGCATGTGTTAATATGATTAATTAGCGGGAATAAACACTTTCCTATGACACAGGCTACATGGTAAGTCACACACCTGCAGAAGCTCTGATAAAAGACAACGCCTCATGGCAAAAGGCCTTTTCATGAGACCTGCTAATTGGCATCTGAAAACGTTCTGGCTAATTAGCAAAAGGCAGATGAGGCTTGATTAGTTTGAATGCAAAGTGTAACTTGTGTTGCTGAGGGATTCGGGAATGTGCCGAGGTTTTATTTCTTCATCATCATGATACAAAGATAATTGTAATTGTGATCATTTGCATACGTTAATGAATTTGCGTGACGCTTCTTGATCAGACGCGGAATAAATAATTGATGCAGTATCAGCACCTACCATGACAAGTGGGACGTTTTGAAATAGCTTAGCGCATTAAGGTGTGAGTTTGATGGCTGCCGTGCTCCCAGGCAAGGTGTGAAAGTAGAACAGATCCAATCTCCTGCCTCCTGCACGCTGTGTACTTCACAACCAAGATTAACTCCAAAACCTGCAACGGTATGCAGAGGCTCGGAGTTTTTACAAAGCCTCAAAAAGCCATCGAGTTGGAGTGAATTAGATGCAGCTCAGGAAAATTATTTTCAGAAGCTGCGCAGAGAGTGGCGGAGAACAAAGAGCTGTGATGGGAAACAAATCAGGCTGTGTGGGAGCTTTAATTGGAACATGGTAAACAGTAAATACATCAGATTGTTCCAAATGCCCTGGATGTAGAGGGGGCCACTCCCCTTTAATTAGCCTGTTTTCAGATTAGGCCTTATTAGAGGCAAGCAGCCACCGAGCCAGTCAGCCACGGGATATGCCCCGAGTTCAGCCTCCCAGGAGCTCCAGCAGCACAGATACAGGGCTCATGTTTAATTGCTTCTGTAAATGGTCAGAGCTCAAGCCCCCTAATTCCATTCCTCTGGGTAATCAGGCACGTTTTCACCATACAGGGCTAGAGAGTGAGAGAGACAGTCACATCCACCATGTTAATAGGTACCATGCAATACAACGCTGCTCTGAGTCTACTAAAGGGGGCTTCGAAATGACCTCTGCTTGGCTGTTACAGGAAAAATGTTTTAATAGAATTTTTGATTCTAACTCCACATTTTTTCACACACGGAACAGGCATCTGATAAGAAATAAACTCTACAGTTTAAAAAAAAGGGTAATTTTTCATCCTTGTAACATTTTGTTTTCCCTTCACTGTTTTTTTATTATGGATTCAAAGTTTTTTTCCACATACTTGTCCCTGACACCCATTGATTTTATATTCAATCCTCAGCGCGTATCCGAGATAAACATTTACAAGTGAGATCAAGAGTTCATTAAAAGCACAGATGCTCACATGGCATAAGCAGAGCTTTGACAGTCATTTTACAGCAATCCATCAAACGTTCACTCGAGCGTCTTTTGTTCCCTCTTCCATTTGGCGAAGGCTTTCATCATCCTCCAGCTTTGTCTCAGTCCTGAATGAGCCTTTGCCAGTGCAGATCACACACTCTGCGAGTCTTTGCATGATGCACAGACCGTTTGAACAGATCACAACATAAATGGGACTTCATACTTGGTATATGGAATCTCTGATACCGTGTTGGGTAGGATTTTTGTAGGGGAGAAACGACGTCCTCTGCGGGAAAAAGAGGCGATCTAGAGGTGAGGATCCACAAAACAGCAAGAGTAGCAAGGGAGGAGAAGTTGTACTGCAGAGAAGTGAAGCTCGGGAGGGAAAAACACAGGAGTGTGGCTGCTCAGCATACCTGTGGACAGGTAGAGAGTGGGGAGGTAGTCAGAGTCAGCATCAGAGCATTTAGGCACTCAGTCTTTTGGTTATTTCTAATCTTTCAAGTAATCACAGGTTGAGTTGTAGGTAGCCCAGCAGAAATCAGACATGCAATCTTATTGGCAACATCTATAGAAATCTTAAAACGATCATAATGATTCACAAGTCGAAGGCGGAAACCTTCTGACAGTATGCTTTCCTTATGTTCCATATGCTCTCTTGATTTTAAAGAGGTGAAACTTTTCATTTATCTTTAGAAGCAGCAAAACTAAATGCAATACCAAACAACAATGACTCAGATTGTAAGTGCAAGTAAGTTGTTCCTCATATTTCTTGTTATTGCTATTTTTGTTTACTATCTCTGTGCTTTTTCCTTTGATTTCTTCTTTCATCTAAACCCATGGCAAAGTCTGATCTTCATTCCAGAGTTCAGAAAATTGACCAAGAAACAAAGTTCAAAATCGTAACTACGAATTAACAACATGTACTTCTGAAAGCGCTCCATGCACTGAAAAGTTTTATACCTAGTGTATTCAAGTCAAGAATGTGAGGCCAAAAGTAATAAAATTGGATTATTATCAATGACGCATTAAAAAAATAGTATTGTGCTTTAAGATGTGATAATGGAGTGATTTAAGTTTCTATTGTACATTATTTTTGGAGGTTTTAAATATGAGTAATAGGGTAACAACTGTGACCTATCTTTGGAAATAGTATTTAAAGTGTGAAATTCCCCAAGAAATTTAAGAGTTCATGGGTAAAGTACCTCAAAAGTACCTAAAAGCTATACTTGTCACATCACACCCATGTCTCTATGCGCTTCCGTTTTTGCCCTTTTTGGTCTTTGTCGCTTACTTTTCTCACTTTTTTATTCTTTCAGACATTTCACACATTTAAGTGTGAACATAATAAGTTCGGTTATGAAAATAGCGTCTCTTTAGGGTCAGTATTTTGCCTTACATACAGATGATTTCTGTTGTGTTAAAAAAAAAAAAAAACTCTTTAATTCACCTTCTGATCCGTCAGCACAGAGCTGCTCTGAAGTGGAGGCAGGTGACTGCTGAGCAAGGAAGCGCCGGGTTTGTCGTGCTCACAAAAGATTGTACTGTTGATATAATGGAAGCGATCCCCGGGCATCAGTCTGTTTCTACAGGTGGCACAGCTAAAACACTGCAGGGGGGCAGAAAGTAAAAAGGGGTCAGAAATGGACAGTGGATGGATGAGTACACACTTAACGCTAAAAATATTCCCCCAAATCTTTACCAATCTTACAATACTGTGAAAAAAGTTCCACTCCGTCACAAAGGGGGCACATATTCCCACCTCACTACCTCTTTCCACTAAATCCCAGATGTTCCTGTCAAACACGCAGCGGGAGACAAGGTGTGCTGATATGAGATCTGGGGATTTACCTTGAGATGGTAAACATTTCCCTGTGCCCTCATCACCATTTCGTTAGCCGGGATCGACTGGCCACAGGCGCTGCACGCCCCGCTGTGCCCGAACAGTCTACAAACACAGAAAACACAGATTGCTCAGTGTGTGCATCCTCCAAATCTAAAACCAGCAGCTTCCCCTCTCTGCATCTTCCTGCTTCTTACCTGATATAGTCGCTCCGACACAGAATCATGCCCCCTTTGCTGTAGCAGGTGGTGCCAATGTCCCCCAGCTGGGCTTGGCAGCAAGAGCACTTGAGGCAACGAGTGTGCCAGTAGCGTTCCATGGAGAAGAGCAGGAAGCGGTCGGCGATCTTGCCCCCACATCCTGCACACGACCTGGGGGCTGATGGCACGCCAGACGTCTGGCTGTTCACCATGATGCCCTCAAGAGGCTCCTAAACAAACACAGGGATGACAAATAAGATCAGCTTAAAGTGTAGAACAAACTCTTTCGAATTCTGTCTTTCTTAACATGATGTAACACTTACTCCACCTTTTTATAATGTAAGTCTCATGATACACTAACTGTAATAATCAGTCAAAATGGAAATTTACAAGAAAATCATTGATAATAAATGACAATATAATATTTCTAATGTATGGGTCAGGATCATGGTGTATGGCTGGCTCAACATTTCATCCTACCCCATGTTTTGTGAAGGTATTCTTATGTCAGATGTTTTTTTTCTGTTTTGATACCTTGGTATGAACTTTGCAAGAGTTACAAGACAGGTTTAACATACTTCAGTGATGTGGTTTGCTCAGAAAAGCATTCACAACATGGTTAATGCAACCCTCGAAGTGTTTTGATCACCAAAACAGAGACATTTAAAGACATAATTCTTACTTTATGCTTACAGTGAGTAGGCCCATGAGAAATGCATGTGAATTATGTTCACTAAAAGTTTGATCGTAGTTGATCAAGTCAAACTAGGAGAACTGGGTTCGTCTAGAAAGATTGTTACATGCAGTACATTTTGATTCAAGACTTTTGGACGACTGCCAGAGGCGTTATCAGAGTTAATAAAGCAATTTAAGAGTACAAACTGCTGGATTTTACATTCTAGTTTTACAAAATAACGATACCCTGGGTAATATTTGATTTATTGGCGTTTAACACGAGTCTGCAGATTTTAGTTGAAATTCTTAAAATGCGCGGGCGGATGGAAAAAACTGGAAAAAGAAGAAGAGGCGTTACCTTTACGAGCTCAAAAGGTTTCCCTCCTGCGCTGAAAGTTTAGTCAAGTGAGGAAAATATTCACAAGAATTCGACCCCGAGTCGTTAACCCGCTCTCAGACTTCACATGCTCCGGTCTCCATTGTTTTCCAAAAATCAGGCTGAGCAGCAAAAACGTTCACCCGGGACAGCACGGCACGGTGACGGTAACAGTTGAGCAAACTCTCCCCCCCGACTGACATCCAGGTCTCTGCGGATTAAAGAACTACATGTAACTGTGAAGAAGAAGAAGAGGAGGAGGCATGGCGCAGCTCCCTTTCCCTCTGTTCCTCTTCTCCTGTCTTGTTCCAGCTGTCTTTCAACGTGTCTACATCTGTTTCTACCGCTTTTGACAGCGACACTATTCATCAAATTGCGCAAAGGGCTATTTAAATGAGTGAAGGGGGGGCCGCAGCACGAAGCACCCAGCAGCCAATAGGAGAAGAGGGGGGCGTGTCCCAAGTCAAGATGATTAATGAGTTTATATTGGCTCGTTATTGTACGTATTTACATCCTTTCAGGTCCCCATTGGCTTAGTGGACTAAAGGTGCACTAAGGAGAGGAAAAAATAAATAAATATTAATAAAAAAAAAAAAAGTATAATAAATATATATATATATATATATATATATATATATATATATATATATATATATATATATAAATAATAATAATAATAATAATAATAATATATATTATATATATATATCCCCATTGGCTTAAACTAAAGGTGCACTAAGGAGAGGAAAAAATAAATAAATATTAATAAAAAAGTATTTAAAAAAGTAATATATATATATATATATATATATATATATATATATATATATATATATATATATATAACATATATAATATATATATATATATATATATATATATATATAAGATAAAAAATATATAAGACAAAAAAAAAGTATATCAAAATCTGCAAACACATTTCACCAAACAAAAAGTATGTGACTAAATGCAGAGATATTCCTCACTGGTTAACTTTAAGTGAAAACAATATATACAATATATACACACACACATATATATATATAGGGGAGAGCCACCCCTTGTTGCTTGGAAATGGTAAAAGAAATTGATCATGTGACCAAATATTTAGGAGTCTGTGGAGGTTAGAAGCACATGGGTGAAGGGTAAAAACATTTATTTACAAAAAAACATTTTTCACTCTTGAAAGTGAATTTAGTCCGTCTTAAGTTTTAGTGGAATTGTGTTCAGACCAAAAAAGGTCATTTTAAATTTGTTTTATACATCAATTGTGGTATCTATGAGCTACAACATGAGGTCAAAAACCGAGCATAAAAGTCCACCATTTTAGCTTAGAGGACTAATAAAGTCATAATAATAGTTCTGGGGTAAGTTGAGCCAGTGGTTCAACTGAGAAAGGTAAAGGAGTCTGATGAGAGGATCAGAGTTTCAGTTCAGATTGTTGAAATGTGTTACTTTTTCTTTTCAAAAATACAGCTGTAAATGTTCTGAATCACTTAAATACATTCTCATGTTAAAAATGACTTTTTATAAAACAGATTTTTAGCAGTTATATGCAATAATAATTTAAAGAATTATTGTACCAATTGAATGGTGTATAATAGATAAAAAATACACATGAATGTGAAGAAGTGACTGTTATTTAGGGAGAAAGAAGGTAAGGGAGGGCTGGGGTGGAGTAGTAGGAGGGTAGTAGGGATATGACTCAACTTACCCCGCTCCTCAATTTACTCCATACACGGGGTAAGTTGACCATAGGGGACCACTTTTTTTGGCATGCTATATAATCAAGACAGTTATGTTTACACTCATTCTGTTGGTTTGCAGGGATGCACAACATGCTGAAATATATGCAGATACACTAGTTAGAGACAAAACTATGATTACCTTGATGTAGTGATCTGAAATATGAAAAATGGCTCATCTTACCCCACTCTCTCCGATATTAAATACTTTTGTGATTTGTGAAATGTTTTTGTGTTTCACAAAGTTTAATAGGTCACATTCATCATGACCCCTTGGAGAACCTTAGTCTTCAGTGAGTCAGGGACAACATATTAGAGATGCTTTGCTTTTGTTTTCTGATCTCTTAAAAGCTGTACAGGACACCATTTCTCACAGTGAAGCTTTCGAAGTGCTTCAAGTATTTTATGGCAGTGTTATACTCCTCAAATCTTCCCCTCCCAACTGGCAAAAGGGTGAAGAGCCAAGAACTCTTCAACAGGCCTTTGTGTGTGGGAAGTGGAGGCTGACCTGCGTGGCTCAATCCAACAGGAGAGCTTTTGGGGCTCAAGGTGCTGGAAAAGTTAATTCGAGCACTGATAGGCAAATCTCAAAGCACAAAATGAGTCATTGTTTATTTTTATCATGGCTATGTAGCCACAAACAGATCAGCATGTCCATGCAAGCCCCGGTTTACTTCCAAAAGCACCTGTACTGAACACACCTTCAGAGGTCTGGTGAGGTTCACATCTCAACAGGTCAGGATTGTGTTTACTGTGATCCAATGAGAAGGAGGCATAAACATTATTAGGCAAGCGGTCAAATGATCAATGGGTATTGAAATGCGACTGATTCTTAAGTCAGTATATGAACAAATACAATGAACATCTTTGTCAGCTATATATTTCTAAAAGACCAATTTTTTAAGTCTTATGGGTACTGACTCGATCTTTAGAAAAGTTACAGGATCTGGCCAGTACTGTGGGGTCCCTGTGCTGTACTTTCTATTGACCTCCAGAAGAGGGCAACATCCTGCCATGTTGCGAGTGGCCACCGCCAAGAAGTCTTTGCTTTGCATTCTGATAATCCAAAATAGATATTTACTGTGATCTTTTGTCACGTCTGGGGCACACATCTTGAAACAACTTCCATTTATTTTGAGGTCTCTTTAATTTTAAATATTTGGTGTGAGAAAATAATAGTTGTATATTCCTGAGACCCACTGTTGTATCACAAGTTTGATGTGCTATTGCAGAAACAGGAGTTTGAACTAGTAAATCTTTAAAATTAACATATAATTTTGGACAAAACCACAAAAAGTTAACAACTGTTATCTTAAACGTTGTACAATTTTTTAATATTAGAATTTTAGAGACAGGTTTAGAAAGAATGATGATGAATAAACTACGCTTATTTGATTTATATATCGTAAAGTTAAAAACTCTTAACATTTGTTAACATGTAACAGCTGTGAGAAATTTGAGGCATTTTTGTTTTTAATCTGAAAATCATGTAAAGCTATTAAAGAGGTATCAGAAAGGAAATATAAGTCTGAAAAAAGCAAAATACTCAATTTTTAAGGAAAAAATTAATTTCAAGTAATTTATTCACAAAAATAAACATAATAAATGTTGTTTGATTTGATTATATTGTGTATCATTGTGTATCATTTGGTTTCTTTTTCTCATGTTGTCTATGATATTAAATTGTATCAGACTGTATTATATAGTCTGGTGGTATGACATTGATTTCTTTTACATGTTTTCTCTGTGAGTGAAATTAAGTTTTATGACTGCAGACGCTTTAAGACAATTGGCCTGATATGACATATTAGAGTACAAGTATCTAAACAAAATAGTGAAATTTAAAAAGATGTTAATGCACAATTTTCAAATGGTGATAGCTAAATGAAGAGCTTGTAGTTGTAGTTTCAGTAGTCCATTGAATCAGCATTGACATCACAGTGTTTACTTTTCTGTGAGCCATCAGTCTAAACAGGATCCTTTGTGGAAATGTTGACTTCCACCTCTGAAGGTGTTAACTGTCACACTGTAAAAAAGGATGCGTCATGCTCCATGCATTTGTTTTCAGCCAATAACATTTTATTTTCAGACCTGTTAATGTCCCAAAGCACCGGAAAGAAACCTCTCCAACACATCCTTTCTCAGAGTGCATGGAGGGGTGGGGGTTTGGGGTTTCCTCTGAACTGGGCCATTTTCCAACACTTTCTGAGGCCTCGTTGATTTCCAACATACTTCCTGTTCCTCTATCAAGGCCATGCTGCAAGTCACGGCTCTCTAAGAGTATGGACGACACCTGTGACTTCCAGTCTGGGTCCCTCGCCAATGCAAACCCCTCCGGAGCATCACAGTGCCACAGGCTGCCAGGATATTAGATTTATGAAGCCCTCTCACAGTGATGTGGAGAGATCCTTCAATCTGAGGCTCTATTTTCCCTCTCTTGAGGGAAAACACCTCAGTGTGATATGATTCTTGTGGTATTATTCTGGAAATGAGTCATGCTTGACATCTCCACCTTCATGAGGTTGTCGTGGAATAAAGATTTGCTGCACATACTCGCCCAAGGTTTATGGAAAACATTCCCTAAAGGTGGTTGACATCAAGTATGGGAGTGGGTTATCAAAATATAGCAAATTATATTTTTTTCTTGTTTTTATTATTAATGAATTAGATTTTTTGAATTTGAAGCTCCTGTAGGGAGTTTTAAAAACAAACCAAAGTTAATACTAATGCCTTTTTGTGATCCAAATTTTCTAACAAGACCATCAACAAGAAAAGCGATATAATGAGGCTGTTATTTTTAACACTGAAAACCACTGGTGGAAGTCAGTGTCAGACTGGGCCAGTAATTTAACACTGCTATCAGACAACATTTTAAACTTAAGAAGTTTAACCATTGAAATGCTGAATTTTACTTGGTTAAAAAGTAATGGTTATACAGCCTTAGTTTGGATTAAACGATCATTCAGACTGTATTTGTACACCTTTTTATCCAACACAGTCCCTTAATACACAGAAATTTTGTTTTAAAATCTTCTCCTCAAATCCCCATTTTATGCGTAAGGCTGAAATAATTAAGGAGAACAAATAATATATGACTAAATAAACTCTTTAAGGAATTTGGTAATGATTTCGAAGTCTTAACTTGAAGGTTGAAGTTTTCTTCTTAAAAGCTCCCAACTCTTTCACAGACAGAAAGGGGTTAACCTTAGTAGAGATGAAAACACACACTGTTAAGGACTTAACAAAATTGCCCATTAGGTATTTTTCCAAAGTCTACTCTCTGATTCTCCTCATAATGCCATGAAGTGGCCTGAAATGCTGGGATGAGTCCTAAACAAATGACCGTTTAAACGTTGTCATGGGACACCAGCTTTGCTGTACAACAACTCTGCTGGAGGGATCATTTCCCTGAATTTACACCAACCAAACAGCCCAAGAAGACAAACATCGTCATCAAAGGTGATGTTGAACAGTCTGAGTCTAATGGGAGCAGTGGCGCCGCCGGTGACGACAGCAGATGGTGGATGATCTCCATGGTGAGGTGGTGTGCCATGTGTTGTTTTTGGTTCCTGCCTGCTGGTCCGATGGTGAAAGGGCTCATCGTATTCCAAAGAGGAAGGATCCCAGTTTTCAACCCTCTGTCAAATCTCATCCAGAATAAATAAACCCAGGAGAAATTATTCCTATGAACTGTTAGTTACAGCAGCTGAAATAAGTTGAAGAATTTTGTGTCCATAATTCTGACAAACATTTTAAAACCAACCACATTTGAAAAATTCAGAAACAACAAAAAAATTCTGAGACATGTTTTTTGGTTGCGAGACAAACCTTGCAGAAACTTTGCACTTTTGAAAAACAAGAGCGCAGAAATATCAAAAGTGTAGTTCCTCAAATGGCCACTTGATGTCGGCTCCAAAAATGAGTGAAGCCCTATCAAGCTCCATGATAATTTGGACAACTTCTCATCAGAATTAAACACATTTACAGCCAAGTAAGTTTCTGTTTGGTAGTTTATTTTTGGGGGTTTTTGCACTCTCTACAATTTTAAAAAAGGCTGGTTCTTTTAAAGAGTTGCCCACTTAAGAAATTAAATGATAAAAATTGTGAATTATTAGGAGTGTGGCCTCTTTGAGTGACACCTCAATGATTTTATTCAGCCACTAAACCCAACTTTTCTTCCATGTTTTAGTTGGAATATTTCTGTGACCCAATTGTCAGATAAATATTTGATAATATTGTTCCAACAGATCATCTGAAGATTAGATTCTGGCTCAAGACCAATTCTGATCCCCCATAGCTGTGTCTCTGGACTAGTTGTAATATGAGACTGATGATTTGTTCGAGATATATCCCACACCATCGGTCCTGATTGAGGCAGTCAGGGGGTCAAAGTGTTCTTCCCTCCTCGCAAAGGAAGGCAGAGGCCAGGGTGAGGAATTTAGTAGCCCAGCGTAATGTTTGTGCTCCAGAGCCAGCCGGGGTATTGTGCAAGTCCACAAGGAAACACAAGCACAGAGCTCTGGTAAAAATGTGCTTTGAGGAGCTCTGTGTTCAGAGTCAAACTCTTATGATCCTGGTTTAAAGTTCCACTGATAAACAAAGATCTAAGAAAGATGGAGGATAATCATAAGAAACTCCATGAAGCTACACAAGAAAACCTTTTTTTACTGTTAAGCCACAGATAAACCTTGAATTCAAGTGTTTATTTCTGATAAATTCATCATTTTAAGGTTCATATATTTTTAGTTGTATACAAATAGCAATTTAAAATTTTAGTCTATGATACCACCTCTTTCTGTAGACAGCACAGGTTTAAAAAACAACACACGGGATATTTTCAGTTATACTTAACTCATTTTGGAACCTCGATGCATAGAAAATGATTGTTGTTATATCGAGATAATGAAAATAAAATACGTCGTTTTCACGACAAACAAAAAGAAAAGAGTATGGCCATTCTCATCTTCCATAGCTTCGACCCAAATATAAGTTTTATTTACATCTGAAACAATTAACCCTTTAATAATAAAATCAAAATGTCTTTAAAATTTAACAAATATATTTATTTATCTCATTTGATACACAAGATGTTTTTGGAAACTGATAAACTACAAGAGGACATTTTTATCATTTATCGGACTTTATTCAGGTGTTTTTTTAGTAATTTGTTGATCGTATTGATTTAATAGAAGTATATAAAAGTATGTATAAAATATGATACAAAGGGCATTAAAGGGTTAAGGTTGTTATATATTCAGGGTATGGACATCAAATGTTTACAGAACAACAGACAGCGTTTCTCATCTGAGCAAGTGTACCTGTCATGAGGCCAGCTATGGCTCACTCGAACAGCACCAGGGGTATGAAAGCTGAAGAGGTACAGCGACCTGTGCACAAAATACGACAATCAACCCAACAAAAGATGTGGAGCAAGAGGCACTAAACAACTGTCAATTAGCAAAGAAATGTGGTGTCACATAATCTACCTTAATTTACAAGCGAGTTACCCTCAATACTAACAAACTACTTTACAGGTACTTCATTTATTTAGTTTGATTTATATTAAGATATCCCCAGCCATGGATCCTGGATGTTTTTTAATAACTGCCAAAAGTATGATGTTGTAAGTTGATACATTTTTATTTGATGTACAGGAGTTTACAGATAAAACATCAAATGAACAGGTGTAACGTGACTTTAATATAGAAAGTATCATTTCATATCTAAAAAATAAAGCATTATATGTACATTTTAAAGGACACAAACACAAAATATAATAAATCACACCCCGAAAAATGAGGTGATCCTAGAATTTACCACTCCACAACTAAGAGTGAAGTCTATATACAGTTTATACTTTAATCTATACTGAAGAAGCACAATACATCTCCATTAACTCTCTGTATAGAAAGTTTTTCTTCAAACACACACTTACATACACACACACTCATTACACAATCAATACATAAGAAGGAAACATGTAATCACAAAGGTCTGGTCTGGTGTTAAAGAACAGTCTTAATAAATGCGTCTTCTAGTTTTCCTCATTAAATCAGTTTCTCCATCGTCCCTGATTCTTTTCATAAAGAGCTCTCTCTGTTTGACAAACCATCACGGCAAAGCTAGAAATAAATTACGATTCTGTGGAAAGCTTTCTGCTGACAGTGTGTTGTCCTCAGTGCTGCCTGGTACTGGAACTGGAGAGGAAGCACACCTGTAGTGCCAACAAACTGTAACATCACAGTGGCAGGAAGCTTAAAGTGCAAGCAAACATACCATCCGGTCCTAGAGAGGGGGGTAGCAGGAGCTCACCAAGCTGAGACAGAAAAGGGGGGATGGTTCAGGTGAGGGTGCACAGTCTTTGGCATGGGCATGATGAGTTTTCCTCAGTGTCGGAAAGTGTGGATGTCATTATAAAGACTGACTGATGGAAATAAACTGCCAATCTGCTGTGTGTGACATCTCGTACTGCAGCTGCAGCGCTGGATCCACATGATGTTTCTGTAGAAGCCTTCGCCATCGGAGCAGTGAAAGCGGAGCCTCACTGTGCGAGTGACTGAAGGTGTGCAACAGCGGTCATCGGAGCAGGTCCCACAGCTGCGAGGGCGGTATCGCTGTGCTGTCGAACATCCGGCGAAGGTGATTCTTTCCGGCTTCTCAGGGCGGATGGTTCTTTGACACTTCTTCCCCTTCTGGATGACAGAAACAGAGTTATCATTTAAATTTCTTCATGATTCTCCTCGTAAAGTTTCATCTAGAGACAAAGCAGCTTTTTAAATTATTATTTTTAAAATTATTCACCTGTGATCTGGAAAAACTAAACAATTTCTGTTGTTTGTACTTACTTTTAAATATGCCAGAAAACCAAACACCACCACATCACTGTTCAAATATACAAAACCCAATTCCATTGAAGTTGGGAAATTGTGATGAACATAAATGAAAACAGAATACAATGATTTGCAAATCCTTTTCAACCTATATTCAACTGAATACACTACAAAGACAAGATACTTAATGTTCAAACTCAAACTTTATTTTTTTTGCAAATAATAATTAACTCAGAATTTCATGCCAAAGTAGTTGGGACAGGGGCATGTTTACCGCTGTGTTACATCACCTTTCCTTTTAACAACACTCAATAAACATTTGGGAACTGAAGAGACCGATTGTTGAAGCTTTGAAGGTGGAATTCTTTCCCATTCTTGTTTGATGTACAGCTTCAGTTGTTCAACAGTCCGGGGTCTCCGTTGTCGTATTTTACGCTTCATAATTTTCAATGGGAGACAGGTCTGGACTGCAGTCGAGTACCCACACTCTTTTACTACAGAGCCATGCTGTTGTAACATGTGCAGAATGTGGCTTGGCACTGTCTTGCTGAAATATTACCAACTTCATTGGAATTGGGTTTTGTATTATACACATGATTCCAGTCATTTTCAATCCTTTTCCAAGATTTGCATATGGGTCTACTCAGACGCAACTACCTGATGCTGACCATTTCTCAGTTTGATGACAGTTCGCTTGGTCATCAAACTGGATCTCTATAAATGACCAACTACTGACTTTCTCCGTCAAAGTCAAAATATCTATCTAAGACTTTCAGCAGATAGCAAGTCACATGTTTGCTGTAATGTAGCTTCCTCCAGCGGTTTTAATTCCAAGTGGCTGATTAAATTACAGTGTGCAGGTCATAAAGATACAGAAATAACTAGCAAATTTGTAAAAGTATCAGTGCTGCACAATACTATGTAGTGCAGTACTATTTGCGCTACAAATAGACACCAGATCAGTCCCCATATTAAAGGAAATATTTATGAAAACACTGATCATAACACACACACAAAAAAACTGCAGCATTTTTATACAGTCCTAGGACCCGTCCTTGCTGATGGACCACCACCACACTCAGATGTAGCTTTAGGCAAACTGACTCATTCTTATAATCTGACTTTTAATATTAAAATCTAAGCAGAAAATCTTATGCCCATGCATGACACAGAGGTGTATATATTGTGCTGCCAACTCAAGTCGTACTATAAGGAAGTTTTACAATCTAGTGCAAGTATTACTACAGCTGTTGAAAAGTACTCTTATGTAAACCAAAACTATCCCTCCTGTTAGCTATGTGCATATATATTTTTAGCATACCTTGCTGGGTACAGGAAGCTGCAGCTCACATTGCCTGATCTGACACAGTCTGGTTTCTCTCTCCAGCTGACACTCCGGGTTGTTGTTGGTCACTCGACTTGAGATGCCCATCCCACATGTGGTGGAGCACGGGGTCCACTCTGTGGTCTGTGGGTAACAGCCAGACTCCTCAAACAGCTTGGCCATAGGGAAGGACATGATCTCTGTGAGGGTCACAAAAAAATTAAGGTTACATAAAATCAAGGAACCCCTTCAATCATTCAGGTACATACAGTCAGTGTTATTATGTGATGCAAAACTCAGATTGGACAGAAATATCAACTGGTCCATTTCTTGTTGTTCATATAGTGAAAAAAACCACTTTATTTTTCTGCAAAACTAGCTGTTGACATGTCTAAGTGAGCCATTAAGAAACTGGCATCGTATTGCATTTATTGTGATATTAATGAAAATAATATCCATATCTAATGTCCACAGTAAAATTCCTCCGACAGAAAACCATTAGTAGAGCTCAAGATAAAACAGCAACTTTCGATTTCAAATCAGCCAAACTTTAATTTTGAGGAGCTTAATTAAATTCAGAGGCATGGTTAGATAATCTGTAGACATGAAACCTTGTTGTAAAAGAGGAACATCTTGGGATAAATTGTACAGATCCTTTTTTAAAAGATGGTGAATAACACTTAAAAAATACCACTTGGGCGAGAAGTTTATCATAAATCATAAAAGTTTGCATTCTTATTCTTCCATTTGGAGAAAAATAAAGTAGAATTGCTCCAAATATATTCAGAAACATGTACCAGTTTAAGATCAAACGCAAATCCAGTTTCTTATTGGATTTGCTTAACCATCCAGTCATCCATTGTCTACGCTGCCTATTCTATGCTAGGTCTCATTGGGCTAGACGAGAGGCCAATGAGACCTATCCCAGCTGTCACTGGACAGTTCACCTGCCTATTACAGAGCCAACATAGGATCAGACAACAAGACACACTCACCCCAAGAGTCAATGCAGAGTGATCAATTAACACAACAAGCACATATTTGGACTATAAACTTAAACTAGAGTACCCAGAGGGAGCCAACACATGCAAAGACTGAACATACAAAGTCCACACTGAAAGAACCCAACTCCTCACTTTGACTATACAGCCCTATACTATACACCACTAAATAATACTTCTAAATTTGCCCATGGACATAAGAGGCAGACATGCCCATCACAATGTCATCCACTGGTTTGTGAGTGACCTTTTAAAGTCTCAGGATTGGTATTTTTCTCCTTGTTTTATGAAGCAATCATTCTGTATTTGTACAAAAGGTTGCACGGGAGCTTATGCTTAATAGAGGCTATGTTTTTAATGAACACTAACTGGGTTAGCAAGGTGGAACCACAGGTACTGGCTCCGTAAGTGTTTCAAGGACGAGTACCCACGTGTGCCAGCAAAAAAGAATCTTGGATTGGCAATTGAAATCCCCTCCTTCTGACAAACATATATCAGGTTAACCACCAAAAAGACTCGGAGTCCTAATGATGACTGAAACTAAAACCCAAAGGTAACTCTGCCACCATTGCCTGTTAACAAAAACTAGGACAACTTTGGTGAAATCTGAAAGAATGAATGGAGATGATCATCAAAAATGTTCTCATGTACAGCATGCACTTCATTAAGTATGTGTTCACTGTTGTACAAATGGATGGCAGAAGTTATATTAAGAGTTGTGCATACCCTCCAATCAGAAATTGGAGAAGCATTAAGCACATGAACCAACACTAGTAATCTTAGTCTTACCATAAAATGATAAACAAAACTTTCACACAGATAATAACTAAGCAAAGAAGTAGCCTCATTTACCAATATCATTTATACGTCTTTTGCCTGTCAGTGGTGTCAGTCCATGCTGGCCTGCCACCTAACTGCATTTGTATTCTAGCTGGCTTCATATTTGAGACTCAAGGTCGGCGCTCTTTTTATTTGCAGCCTCAGGTTTGGCTCATCACCATAGAAAACCTCCTCTAGACCACTGGTCCATCTTTAGTGTTGTTTGTAGCCACCTCAAAAAGTCATAGCTAACATGTTTACCTCTGAACGTGGCCTCTCCAGTGGCAGCTGGGTGTCGGGGATGAGGCTGGGCCTCCAGCAGGGCACTGATGTGGTTGGGGAGGGGCTGTCTGTCTGGCAAGGAGGTGTGCGTCAGCTCGTCTGGCTCCTCACTGATGTGGTTGTTGTCGTCACACACCCATACCTCACAGCAGCTGCCCTTAGGCCTTGCCAACCTGGGCTGTGAGCAACGCCAGTCAGGAAGGGGGACCTGATTGGGACAGAGGGGCATGCAGCCAACCACCCGGTCCATGCAGGTGCACTGGTGCTGGCAGTCAGGCTGGAAGTCCTCGCCATGCTGGTAAACCCTCCCATTCAATTCGCAGGGCAATCCCTGAGCCTCAGCTGTCAACACGCACATAGAAAAAAGGAAACAGAGCTGTGAGGAGACCTTTGCACCTCATACTTGTGGACGGATGAAAAACCTGCACTTGTGCACAGAACTCATGGTGACAAACAGGTTTTATGAGGAAAAAATATCTCATTGTACTGTAAAATATAAATTAGAAGTCCAATGATTGTGTATGGCGGGTTGTCAAAGGGACTGTCTAAATCTCTGCAACACATTAAAATCCTGATCACTACACCAATTCCTAAAATCCAACATCCTTCGCTTCCAAATTAACACCAAATAACATCTTTTGGACACATTCTTCGTTAGTATTCTGACCAAACTTCCTAACTGTAGAAAAAAAACGTGCTAAAAATACAATGAGAAGGATAAAAACAATTTGGAATCTGATATTATGGCCTGCCTCTTTTACAAGCCTGTCCCTTATAAAGGCCTGATATCTTCTGCATTAAAAAAAATACAGTTTTTCAGTATTTGAGGAGTTTGTGCTTTAAAGTTTTATGAAGTAGATTATCTGCATGTGGTGGGGCTCAAAGCAAACAGATAGGCAGATTATTTTTGTATTGATCTTATTATGTAAGTATTTACTTTCAGTTTTTGCTAACTTAAAGAATTACTCACATTAAGCTATTCTCATCATAGCAATAATGATTTATTGCTTTAGTATGTTTTTTTGTTTTTGTTTATGTAAAATAAAAACTACTTCATGTTTGCATTTATTTTTTACCATCAGTTATTTGACATGTAACCAATGCTGGGAGCCTCTCTGTTAAGGTGTAAAGTATAGTATTCCAGTAGAACAATCTTGGAAAGAGATTAGTGAATGTGGCTCCTTATGAAACGTGAGCTGGTTACATAAGGATACTTTTTTTTCTCCTCTCTGACTGTCTGACTTGATTAAGTTTCAGCACCTTCTTAACAGCCATGCAGTATTCACAAAAAGAGAAATGAAGGCAGATTAAAGAGAGAAAACTGTGCTAATATAATAATAATAAAAAAATTAAAAAACATTTGTATGTTGTTTTTGTTTTGTTTGTTTAAGAAAAATTGGAAATGCAGAAGATAAATTCAAAATATTTATTAAAAAAATATTCATTAATGAAAGCTGAAGGCTATATCAAAAGTTGATAAAAATGTTAGAAAGAATTTACTTTTACTTGGAAAAACGGTAAAAAAAACATTAAAAAACAATTTTCTTTAAAAAAAAAACACTTGCTTGGTTTTTGCTTAAAGTAAAGATTAAGTTCTTGATATCTGTGCAGAAAAATGTTGAGATCTTCTGATTTTGAAATGTCTATTTTGAAAGCTTGACTTCAACACTCATTATTTGAGGCTTATTTTTGTCACACTATCTGTATTTCATTTAAAAAGCAAAATGCTGTTCTCCTGATTTAGTTCTTGGTGTTTCATTCTCTTCATGTGACTAATTGTTTGATTTATTTATTTTTGCAACACATAGATATACACTACCAAATAATTATCACATTCAAAATTAACAAGACTGTCGTTATGTTTTGTGTTGAATGTTTTGTCATTACCAGTCTGGATGAAAATGAATATCTACATCCTCAAACGCAGCCTCACCTCTACACAACCCTCTCTCAGGGTCTCCTCCGGCCCCCAGGTGGCAGCGTAGCCCCTTAATGTGGTCACAGGGTTCGGTGGCACTGCAGTCCTCATTAAACTGCCTTGCACAAACTTTACAGCACCCACAGTGATCTGTCACCCAGCTGACCCCAGGCAGGCACAGCGGCGGTGAGGTGGTGCAAGAACATTCTGCCGGACACTCTTCCTCTGCCTGAGGAGCAGGGTCAAAGGTCATACTCTGTCAATTTGTCCAGTTATGGTACGAAGCTTTATGAAATGTCTTAGACAGGAATTAAGACAAAAAAGGAAAACCATGACAGAAACTCACCATGACTGCAGCACTGCAGAGTATAAATAAGGAGGAAACTACGTGCTGCAGGGTGGCAGGGTTCAACATCCTGAATACAGCAGACTAACAAAGTACTAAGAACCTTAAAAAAAAATTACCAAGACTTATCAAAAAAGATTCCAGGGTTGGAAAAGGACAGAGGAGGTCCTGTTTTTTTTTCTTTTAGTTCCAGGATAAAAAAGTATCCAGGGTTCAAAGTGTGTGCACCGTGCAGAGTCCTGGTATCAGCACAGGTCAGTTACAGCTCACCTCAACTTCATGAAGAAGTTTCCCTCCACTGGAGGGGGGGGGGCATGTACTTATAGACACATAAGCCCCGCCCTGCTATGATGTCATTGACGCTCCTCTCAAGACTGCTTGGAGGGTGTACAGAGAAGGAGGTGGAGGAGGAGGAGGCTGTTTGTGTGTGTCATAACGCGAAAGAGTGGTGTTTGAAAGAGCCATGTGATCGTCATGGAAATTAGATAGATAGATAGATAGATAGATAGATAGATAGATAGATAGATAGATAGATAGATAGATATTACTTTATTTTCGACGCCAAAATACATGTTTTTGATACAGAACATTCAATTAAATATTTGGTTATTTCACTTTAACGGTTAAACCCATGTTTCATCTATCAACACGATGGAGGTGGAGTTTATGACTAGTTATGGCTGGTTGGTTTATATCCTTGATATGCAAGAAACAAATCCTTAAATCCTAATATTTAACTATTCTTTCTGTTGCATGGCCCAACCCAGAAGTTTTATTTATTATATTGTAGAAGCCAGGTGTTAATATCTGCAAGAGTGGTGGGCCAGGAGTAATGGAAACCCCTTGGAATCCCGCTCCATCAGGGGAAGTGGTGATTTGGAGAAAATCCCTGCAGTGTTTTTAGGACACAGTGCTCAGGACATCTTGTGTTCCCTCCATCTCTTTCCTAGTGGGCCCAAGTCCAGGAAACTCCGGCCCCGCCACAGGTTCCCATGATTGGTAGGAAAAACGCTGCATTCCCATTGTCATCCAAGGGCACGTAGAGAGTGTTTTGTTGAAGAGCAGGAAGGTCCCCATATTAAGAGTTGGCATGGCTGTCCTAAAAAAAATGGAAATATAATTTAGTGCATTTGATAAAGCAGCTGAAGGTCTTCCCTTAGTCTGTGGAAAAAACATGCTGTAACGACTGAGACTGTAAATGAGACAAACGTGGGAATACGTCTGTGTACAGGTTTAACTAGAAAACTTTTATCTATATATGATTCATAGTTCAAAGTCTACAGGATTATGGATATACAGTAAGTAAACAGAATAACCAAGTTGTCTTATGATATTCAGACATTTTAAACATCTACTTCCAGTCTGAGTTTAAGTTTTATCATTTTAGCACATCAGCAGTGAAAAGATGCTCTCCCTTAACTCTGCTGCCATTGGCTACATCAAGCGCTGAAATAACTTTTGTAGATTTTGCTTTTTTCCAACTTGGTAGCTGAAACGCTGGTAACTTGGGTGTGACGTCATTTCCAGCTCGGACATCTGACTTCCAAGGTAACTCAACGTAATCTACAAAAGTCAAAGTCAAGCGCTGAAATAACTTTCGTTGATTTTGATTTTTTTCGACTTGGTAACTGAAACGCTCGTAACTCAGATGTGGCGTCATTCCTAACTCAGACATCTGACTTCTGAGGTAACTCGAAAGCAGCATTATTTAGCCACGTTATTTGGGATCTAAGTAGATCAGGTTGTTCCTGCTGTTGCTTTTGCTGTTCAAGAATTAATCACTGTTGTCATTGGGTTATTGACCAGTCAGACCCTAGAACACCATCTTAAAATGATGCCCAAGAAAACAATTGCCATAACTTGCAGATTTACATTCCATAGTTTTTTATCTTTTTAAATTCAAATCTTGCTGCTCTTCTGAAGTTTCTATTTATTATGATTTGAGAGAAAAACCAAAAAGGTCTTAATAATAACCCTACAAGGACCTGTAAGATTTGCTTGTATTTGGGGGGGATACGCTGTCTGAGCCGAGCATCATCACAGCAACTCTCGGCAACTCTCACGCTGAATTACTGAGAGCTTTTCGACTTCAAATCCGTATACTGATGGAAGGTGGAACCAAGTTGTCCGAAGGATAAAGAGTCTATGGTATAAACCCATAAAGAATTAACAAGCATTTGACTTCTCGTCACGCCAGTCTGAAAAGTTTTGTGGACTTTCAAAAAGAACTTTATTGCTATGATGTCTCAAATCTCTTTAATACTTCTTGCTCTATAAAAGTTGCATCAAAAGATAATTTAAGATGAACTAAACCTCATCAAACTTGTTGCAGAGACCAAAGCAGCCACAAGACACAACTCACTTCCTGAGAGCAGGTGTTGTAGGTCCAGACTGAAGTGACAAGCGAAAGCATAACATCAAACCACACACAGCTACCTAGACACCCAGCCGGCAGGCTGTAAAACCACGGGGACCCTGAAGTGGGGCAGTTGCTGGGGTGAGACGGTGGCTGAGAGGTGGGAGTGAGGGGTGAGAGCACCTTGTTGGGCAGCCACAGGGGGGTGGGAGGGTAGCAGTCTGGATTCTTGACATTCCTGGCCCACAAAGGCAGGATGTGTGTGCTGGCCACGCTGCGTCGGACACTGATGGAGGAGCGGGAGGAGGGTGGAGGGGGGGTGGAGGGGTTGCCAGTTTGGCAGCCTCCTGCCTGGCCATGTGCCAGCCATTGTTTGTCAGCCAGGCAAACATTTCCAAAACACACGGAGGTCAGGAGTTGTCGCTTGATTCATCACACTGTTACCACATGTTTGTTTTCTCAGTTCGATATCGGACACTTAAAACCAGTCAGAAGAGTCTGTCCTGTAAAGTATACTCAACATGTTGTGTTAAAAAAGCCTGTGAAAACACTTGTTTTGATGCTATCCAACTTTTCTTTAATTTGCTCTCATTTTGAGGCCTCAGGCATGACCAGATTTCCTCAAACTGCAGCACCAAAAACCCCAATGAGTGAATGCAAATCACACTTTCTTAGCAATCCAAAGCATAAACAGGAAGTGTGTGCCTCATGCAGGAAGAGAGCTGTAACGCCTGAGCCAACCACTGAGTACTAAGAAGACACAACAGGAACCAGACAGGACCAACAGCAGTGAGAGGATTAAACAGAGTTTACATTGGACACAAGTATGAGCTCATGAAAGGCAAAGTATGAGTGTGTCCATATTAAAATAAGCTCACTGGTTTAGAGAAGAAACACTCCTCACAGTGTCCACGTTGTAGCTTTTAGCTCTCAGACAACAAACACACAGATTTAGTCTGATTATGCCTTACAGACTCAGACTAATTAATATACTTTTGATGTTGTTTTTGTCTGGAGAAGGGAGAAATGATAATCATTACTGTACATGAAGACCCAAAGCTTTGTGTTGCATATAGCTTCTCATGAGATGAGCTGTAATTAAATCACCAAACAAGTCCAACTCAAGTTTGAACTCACCAGAGAAGAATCTGAGTTCAGTCCAATAGGTGAGTCCTCATTATTTCACTGATTGATTGATTGATATAACTTTATAATTATTAATTATTATTAAGAGACCTGCTGTTTACCTTCAAAGTATCTGAACATGCTTTGAACATTTGAATTTTTAGTGGTGGTGACAGTATAACCCCCCCCCCCCCATTACCTCATTTACATATTCAAACATAACATTTAAAAAAAACTTGTAATACAAAAAATTCTTGTCTTAATGTCAGTTATACACTTGGGAAGTTTCATGGTGATATCTGTTACTTAAAATTTTTACCCTATTCACCTAGGGTGTCTGCCAGGGCTTCCTACCCATCATGGACGCCATCTTGAAAATGACACCTTTCTGGTGGTCAAACTTTGGTAAACGTTCAGTATGTTATCAAGGATATCTGATATTATAAAAAACTGTTGGGAAACCTTTTGTTAGGAGTTTTTTGGGGTCAAGTCATATTTGCACTTGACCACTTATCTATCCAACTTCAGTGGCGTTACTTAAAGTGTCAAAAATTCCATAACTACCTGTAGCACACCCACCATTGATAATGATTATAATGGAGGCGCTCAAACACTAATTGGACCCAGTTGTTGAGTCACCTCAGCTTCAAAACAGTTATGCAATTAATGGTCCAAGTACATAGACTGTATATAGAATGGACGCCGTCTGCCTCCTCGCTGGGTGAAGCCACTCTGAGAACAGCACCCTCTGGTGACAGGCTGCAGTATAGGGGCGGAACCAAGTTTCCATAGTATATACAGTCTTTATCTAAGTAACGCCATCTTTTCTGAATGATTCCTTCAAAAGTAGAACATGTTGCTTTAGTCTATAATCCTATAAAAGCGATGAAAGAAAAATGCATTTCAAGCATCCTGTTACTGTAGCTGAACAAAACAACATGTAAATGTGCGAATGCAGTCAGTGCGCCAGAGAACACATGCATTATTTCTACTATTATAAGGCATTGGACTTTTCTTACAATGTCTCCATAGTCGTAGAATTATTACTATCATGGCAGTATGTTAACATATACACTCAGCATGGAATTACCAGCTGTGTGAGTTTATGTGTGTTTATGTACTGCACGTGTGTGAAGCTCCCAGCCATGACACGGCCTCCACAGGTTGCGTCTCCCGCCACATTCCTCATGCTGGTGGCCTTAAAAAGCTCCTGGTACACTGTAGTCATCACTCACCCCTCCGTTACTCTGAATGGGCTCCATTTTCCCCTTCATACTCATACTGTTTATACTGTACATGCTCATTCCGAGCGGCAGGAGCTGAGCACCAGTACAATATTAGATTTCATAGATGGGTGTGAGCAGATTATGTCATGAGCTGTGGTGCATTCAGATGCACATGACTGGCAGTGGGCTCCTGCACATCAGCCACCTGGTTCCTGCAGACACAATCTTTTTTTTTTTTATGTTGTTCAGACAAGATTGCTTTTCTCCATGATGGTCGAAGTCAAATCAAACATTGTTTACTTTAGACCAAAAATATTGCTTAAATTTAGTTCTGCTACAATCATAGGTTGTACATTAAAAGCTGTTTTAGGTAGCTAAAGGAACTTATATACAAAAATAGACCGCCATTTGGTGGCTACAGGTGTGACTGTCCTGCAGCCGTAAACAAAAGAGTCATGATTTGATCTGGCAGTTGCCCAGACGGCGGGGCAGAGGGAAGCTGTGGCCTGTACATTCCTCCACAGCATTTAATAGGAGCGATGACAGCAGGGAGCACACAGCAGCAATAACTGCCAACAGTGCTAGCAATACCAGCAATAACCTGGCCATTGTGTGTCTAGGAGGAGCAGGTGTGCTGCAGCAGGTACCGGTGGACACATCCCCCGCACACAGAGGCAGAGGTATGCAGCAAGTGGATTGAAGGTGCCCTGGAGACTTTTTTAGTAAATCAAAAAAAGTTTAAATCAAGCTTTGTTTACATTATGTAATCAAACTCCATGATTTTTTGGACAACTGGGAAACACTTTATTTGACGCCTATCTCTATAACACATTATAAATATATTTGTAATGCGTTATAATCACGTTATAGCACTGTCTAACTATAGTTATAAACACTCATAAATGATCATAATGCTTTATAGCAATAATCATAACACATCATGACTTACAAGGGCAGGTATTATAATGTGTTATAACTGTTAACAACAGTTGCGTTGCATTATCTGTGTGGGCATTGTCAGTGAGTTGTTAACAGTTGTAACACATTATAATACCTGACCTTGTAAATCATGATAAATGCTTTATAATGTATTGTGATTATTGCTATAAAGCATTATGATCATTTATGAGTGTTTATAAATATATTTATACAGTGCTATAACGTGATTATAACACATTATAAATATATTTATAAGGCGTCAAATAAAGTGTGACTGAGAATTGCATCATATCTTGGTGAGTTATTATTACCTTATTAGCCTACATAGTCCCAGATAAAATTCGAGAGGTAACCAGATTAGGTGGCTTCATCTTAAAAATTCACATGTGTAGTGCTGTGTTTTCTTCTCAGGTCAGTGTTTTATCTGTCTGCAGTGATGTTACCTGCCTCTTTCTTGACACTGGACCGGTATTGCTGCTCCGTACATTACAGATTTTGTTATTTTATGCTCCAGTAAGGTCTCTGAGGTCCTCGAATGTTTCCCTCTTAAATGTTCCTCATGTGTCTCACACATGTACTGGAGAGAGAGCTTTCTGTTTTTATGCTCCTTCACTGGAACGCTCTTTCTCTGGATATTAAAACAGTTAGCTCACTCTGGGTTTTAAAAGTAAACTAATAATCTTCCCTTTTACTCTGGCTCTAACACTTTAATGCCTAAAACCACAAATTATGGCCAGAAAATTTAAATTTCTTTGGAGCTGAAATGTTTATTTCACTTACTACTGAAAAACAAAAAAATCTAAATGTCCTTAAAATTTAACAAATAAACATTGTTTTTTTTTTTTAGTACTTTGTTGATCATATTGATTTGATAGTAGTATAATAAAAATATGTATCAAATATGATACAAAAGGCATTAAAGGGTTAAACTTGGATTGATTTTATTCTTCTTTTACGCTGTGGACTGCAGTATACCATCATTACCTTTGTCTAAATACCATTTTTTTTAAAATCTATCTATTGTTATTTATTCATCTTTTCCAGTGTCCAGTTTTTTTCATGTATGAAAGGTGCTGTATAAATAAAGTTGAGATGATACAGCCTCTGGGGAACAATGTCCAAATTTTCAGGCAACAAACAACATCCAGTCAACACTTCCTTTTCTCTGCAATCAACAAGTGTGTGCAAATCAAATCAAGGTAAAAGTCATCCCTTCAGACATGCCTTCAAACAAACAAACAACAACAACAAAAAAGTCATTTCTTGGTCCAATGCATCCCTGGAGTAGTGTCTGTTCATGTTTTCCTCAGTTTCACAGCAAAATATTTTTTTTTCTGACACTTTGCCAACTCAGAAATAATCAGATTTGCGTGTCAAGTCTTAACATTTAAATTAAAACAGATTTGTGCTTCACTTGCATGCAAGCATTTATTTGTAGAGTTGACAAATCACCGTCGGATTGTCGTCAGGTATCAGTGTCATTCTGGTGGATTGATCTCTCCATGTTGACTGTTTTTCCTGCAAATGCTAAAGCCTGCTGATCAATAATACTCAAATTTTTATGAAAAAATTACAAGTGGAGCAAAAGAAAGCCATATGATAAAGAAAAGTCCAGTGTTCATGGACTTACACTGAACACAATTAAAGCAAAAGCAGGTTTAGGCTCATAGTGACAGAGTCCAGAACCATCAACATAGACGCTGCCTCTCCCTCCAGTGAACCTGAGGTTTCCTAAACTGTATACCGCATATTTAGCACACGAGAATAAATAAACTGGTATTTCAAAGGGACTTTAGTGTGGGAGCTGGCGGCGCTGCGCACTGACAGAGCGCGTCCTGTTAGCAGGCAGGGAAAAGGTGGCACTACACAGCGCTGCCTGTGATTCAGAGGGGAAAATGTTATCACAGTAAAGCCGTAAACAGAAAACGTTCCAGGGCTCCCCAGCAGGAACCGGGACACAAACACTTAAAGCTCACTGTGCCCAAGGCTGCCGGAAAACCAATATACAGTAAATGGAAATAAATTCACTTTGAATTTAGAAATGATAGCACAGAAAGTATTGTATGTGTGATTAAGAAACAGGCCTGCATAAACACAACAGTGATGTTGCTCACTGAAGTTTCCTTTTAGCTAACTTGAAGGATCATTTATTTGCTCAGCGAGGAGCTACATGCACCAATACCCAATGACAAATATTCAATGTTATTGGTGTCTAAATTTAGGCAGGGAGTGTTTGCTCTGATATTCAAGTGGATTGAGGTCATTTATTCAAAGAGCTCTTTGAAACCTCTTTTAAAATTTGGGATGTAAAAATATTCTGAGGGTCCCGAATCAGTTCAAAGTGAAATAAAAGGACCAAAATGTTCAGACAGTCTGTTTTGAGGATGCTGCCGAAACATCTGGTTTCATAGTATCAAAAATAGAGTCTAGTCATTCATCCATCCTAAAGATATACATTTGGAGAGAAAAGAGAGTTGAGTCCTTACGGTGCCTGGGGTGATTGTTTTAGTCCTCTAAGAGTTTGAGTTTATAAGGCAAACTTAACCAAAATATATGCATTTTACAATAAGGATGTTGTGTGTATGTGTATATATAACTAATTCTTTGTGACTAATGCCCATCAACACCTGTGTTTGAACCATGTCACTCCTGGAAAAAAAAAAAAAAAGAATTCATTAGGGGAGACCGGGGCTTGTTGTCACACTTTTCACACTCTTGTATATTTCTTGGAATCAATACATCATATATAAACAAAATGTGTAACAAATGAAAAACCAAAGTCTCAGGTATATATTTCGTATTCATGTCATTTTCATATCTTGAGTCAGTGCAGAGTTATAAGCTATCAAATTTCGAGTGTGAACATGTGACATGTTGCCCCACCATCGGGTAAGTTGTCTCACTACATTGGGTAAGATGTCACAGTTGATTGTTCAGCTAATAAAACAAGGACAAAATTATTATTGTTCTCATTTTTTTCCATGAAAGTGAACATCAAAGTCAGGTACAGAAAATGTTTATCATTGAGCTAGAAAAAGCCATTCAACAAATGTTAACATAAAATATTATGCAACATGCTCTGGAGTTTGGAGAGCTGTCTGACTCTGTATTTCGGCTGGGGTGAATGTTTTGCAATACCGAGCCAAGGTATGGTAGTTGACATTAAAGTCCTTTATTGTCCTCCAGATTGATTTATTAGCGAGGGTCACCTGCCTGACTGTCCTCAGCATCATGTCAGGTACTGCACTACATTCTGTTTTTCTTTTGTAACTCCTGACCATGTCTTCTCGCTTTTTTCTCTCCTTTAAACCGCTCTTTTCTCTGTAAAAATAAAATCAAAATTTCATTATGACAACTGCTGATGAGCAGACTCTCTATGTTAATTTTAATCCCTTTTAAACATGTGACAACTAACCCCAAAATGACTGAGACTTGTTGCCCCAAACTACCATGTTTGCTAATTCTAGCTCTAGCTTAGTTAGCTTAAAACAGAACAATGACTGAGGTATGACAGGATGCCTTAAACGCTCCTCTAACAAGCCCACATGTATCACTGCTAGGATTTTTATTTTTTTGGAAACTTATTTTAAAATATACAGTGCCTGACAAAAGTCTTGTCACTTATCCATTTTGTAGAAACAACAGCTAATAACCTGACTTGTTATTAATCCATTGGTTTTAGAAATGGCTCATATGAAAGCTAAAAAACCTCCCAAATTATGTTTAAAATCTAAAATAAATTTCCTTCACCGAAGAAAGATTGATCATTTAATGAGCACAGACAGGTCAGATTTTGGCAAGACAAAAGTTTTGTCGCCTACATAGAGTAATGTGAAAATTGAACAAATAATTTACTTCAAATACAAAATATGTTGCACAACATCAGTGAATCAAGTAGTGGTGCTGTGAGATCCATATTTAATATCTTGTATGACTTCCATGAGCCTGAAGAACTGCATCCATGCAGTTCAGCAACGATTCATACAATTTATTGATGAAGTCATCAGAAATAGCAAAGAACGCAGTCTTACATGCCTCCCAGAGTTCATCAAGATTCTTTGGTTTCGTCTTCCATGCTTCCTCTTTCATTTTACCCCAGACATGCTCGATGATGTTCATGTCTGGTGACTGGGTTGGCCAGTCCTGGAGCACCTTGATCTTCTCCGCCTTGAGGAACTTTGCTGTAGAGATCTGAGTATGCGATGGAGCACCATCCTGCTGCAAAATTTGACCCCTTTTATGGTTGGGAATGTAAGAGGTAGCTAATACTTGTTGATATTTTAGGCTATTGATATTGCCTTTCACCCTGCAAATCTCTCGCACACCTCCATGCTGGATGCAACCCCAGACCATGATTTTTCCACCACCAAACTTAATTGTTTTCTGGGTGAATCTCAGATCCATGCAGACTCCAGTAGGTCTCCTGCAATATTTGCAGCGGTTGTGATGTTATTCAACCGAAGATTCATCAGAAAAATCCACCTTCTGCCACTTTTCCAGCGTGCATCCTTTTAGCAGGCTGTGGGCCTTGGCAAATGCCACAAGTTTTTTTAATTTCTTTTTGTTTAGTGCTGGTTTCTGGGCACTGATTCGACCATGGAGGCCATGTCGAGACAGAATTCGACAAACTGTTCTGATTGACACAGGGACTTGAGGTGACCAGACCTGGTGGAGCTCTGCTGCAGTGGAAAAGGGGCTGGCCTTGGATTTTCAAGCCAACAAATGGTCCTCCCGAGCAGTTGTCTTTCGGGGTCTGCTGGGCCTGGGCTTGTCATAAACATCTCCAGTCTCTTCAAATCTTTTTCTTATCCTTTGTACTTGACGCTGAGACACATTGAAGGTGTTAGCCACCTCAGCAGTGGATCTGGTCTTCAGCCTCTTGATAATCAAAGCTTTGGTCTCAGGGTGAATCTTAGGCATGTTGTCAGAGGTTAAGTTGCAGTTGATGTGAAGGTCTGGTGTGGTTCTTTCTATACACCCACTAATTGATTGGTCAATACTTGATCACAGGTGAGGCTGTAATCTTGGATTGGGTGCATCATATGACAAGGCGACAAGACTTTTGTCTGTGCAAAAACTGACTTAGTGGGCTTTACCAAGCTGTGAACATTAGAATGCTTTTCAGCAGTTTCATTTGGCACCAAGACATTATTTCAAACACTGTTGGGATTGAAATTAGACATTTCTTGTAAAAAAAAAATTATTGCACATATATTTGAGGGGCACTTAAGGTCAACTTGTACCCAAGCGACAAGACTTTTGTCAGGGACTGTATTCAGTTAATTTTTTTTGCTTTGGGTTGTGTGAAATATTTATTGGTACTCATTTCGGCTCACAATGTGCTCTTCTCTTCTCAGACAGGATATATCCCTGACCATATAAAGGAAGAAAACTAGTATTCCACTTTTTAGTTGCGCCCTCTGGTGGCAAAGACAATTGCAATGTTACAACTTACCCATGTGACAACAAGCCCCGGTCTCCCCTACTACTTGCACCTGTTAATTTGCAGGTAGCTGGTAACAAGTTAAGCTTCATGAAAGCAAGTTCATAAAACCATTAATCATGTATCATCTGTTCCAGAGTGATTGTTCCCAGGGATGCACCACATCCTAAACTATATGTACATGTTTTAGTTGGAGGTATTACTGCCATACCCTTGCTTTACTGATACTTAAAGCAACTAACACACCAATTCACCCCACTATCACCATTGTGTCAACTTCTTTTAAAGTTTATGCTTTTATTTTTCATAAACAATCACGAAAATATAAGCATTTAAATCAGTTCCATCACAAAAAACTGATAGGAGATAAAGAACGGTAGCTTTGTTTTTTTTTCCAAACATAACAGTGACTGTGTGACTAAACAGCGAGGCAGACAGGGATACATTATCTTCACTTACTCAAAGAATATCAGATATCCAGCAGCACATTTTGCACATCGTTGGCATACATCTAACATGAAATCATCCTGGAGTTTATTTGTTTATGAGCAGATAAGAAGGAATTCTTTTCAGGCTTCCTGAACAGCCTGGGTAATCAGAGAAGTACGTGACAGACAGTCAGACTCAACATGAGGAGTTAAAAACACTTATGTTGAAATGTGCTGTGCTTGTGATGACTATCAGAGCTGGCATCTTTGGAAGCTGACTCTGGCTCTCATTCAGGAGGATGTTATTGATGGAGAAACACAGAAACATGAACAGTTGATGTTTATAATCGCACTTGCTGCGTGAGCGATGATCTTCAGATGTCAACACTTTGATTAACAAGAGTTTCAAATCACAGTTAGGCGACTTAAAGTTGACTATATTAGTGAGTTTACTCTTTTAAGATATCCAAACAGTTCATTCTGAATAGAAAGAATGATACCTGGTATTGATTTCCCAGTGCACATAAAGAGCTAAAGACGTCATTTGTCCTGGAAAGTATGACGTTGCTGTTATCTGATATGACAAGTGCTGACAGTAAAAATGTCTTTGTCAATATCTAACAGTTAATTTTGATCAGAAAGAACTGAAGCACAGATATATCTTTCCACTAATACTGTGCTGGACTAGCATTAGGACCTGCTGCCTTCTCCTTAATGACACCAACAACTCTCTTTTATGGAATTTGTCCTCAGTTGGTAAGAGATACAACACTGTTGTTTCTGTCCAAGAAATTTAAGACCTGATCCTGTGCATCTCATATAGGCAAGAGATCAAATCAAGAATGTGTCCAGTCCAATAACACATGCAAAAAAGCCTGGATTTGGAAAGGTGCTGTATTCATGTTGTTCATTATTAGAACAAAAAGATTTTTCCTCTGTTTTGTGGCACTTCCAAAGTTTTTGATAGACACAATTCAATCTCAGACCCCAAAGACTGCAGCTGTCTAGTTATAACCTAAGTTTGTGTGTGATAATTTTTATGCATTTAAACTTTTACAAGACCTTTTACACATTTTTTTGGGGGGGGATCATTAAGAAAACCCAAAAACTGTAAATATGTTTTCCTTATTTTGAGATGCCTCTTTGTAAAAGATTTCTATGATAACTTATATTTGCAATGTTGTTGAAAAATTCGTCTCTATGTATACAAAATATGTTATCTTTATACTGCAATGTATTACAGTCTTTAGGAGTATGTCAATGTTTCACACAGAAACAAATTAAATGTTTTTATCTGTTTTTTTTTTTTTTCTGTATTTTTATGAAAATTGTACAATGTGAGTGTGCAAGAAGCTCAGAAAACGCAGAGACTAATAGCGTCCTTTTTGCTGGTCTGTTGGGGTGCTTCTCACCTTCTGGGCTGGCATCTGAAGACTATGGTAGCAGGGCTGCTGAGAGTGGATGAGTTGTCTTTATCTGTTGGTTCAGGTCCACCCTAATAGACAGAAGTGATGACAAAACATGTAAAACTTTATGTTCTTAGAAGAAATATTATTGAATATGGTTTTAAAATTGAGTAACATGAGAGAATGATCTGATGGTTGTCTAAGTAATGAAAGTATACTTTACAATTCCTTAGTGCACCGTCTCTGCAGGTTTCCACAAGTCAAATTTAAGACTTTTTGAGACTTTTTAAAGACCTTAATGAAAACAATTTAAGATCCATTTAACGTTGATACTGGCAAAAAAGTATGAAAGACATGAAGCCTGAAAATCGGAACATTTCACATTACTTCAAACCAATCTTTATTCCTATGGCATGCTATTCATTCATAAAGTTAATACATTTTTAAGACCTTTCAAAATCATATTTAAGACATTTTATGAGATTTTAAGAGAATTTTAGAAATGTTAAGGCCTTAAATTGAAATTGTTGGATTTTAGATGCTTTAGGACATTTTAAGACCCTGCAGATACCCTGTTAGTGATAGGCAGATGAAGCGCCATGAAGATAAACTTGGGTTGAAAAAGAGTTGAAGCTTTAGATTTAGCAAACACACTGACATCTGGTGGCTTCTTAACCTAATGACACTCTTCTCAATAGTCGTCTGAAACACCAAAACACTTCTGTTCACTGTTTTAGTCTATTCCAGAAATGAAAGTCCATGATGCCCATGCATTGTGAATCAAAACTACTGTATATCCACCTACTTAGATTTATCTCTTCTTTCAATTACCAATAAGTAAAGTGTCTCAATATTATTTCAAGTAATGAGTTAAAAAGTACGGTGGCCAAGAACCTCCACTGTTGCAAGAAAAAAAAAAAAAGCAAAAAAAAAAAAAACAAAAAACAAAGAAAAAAAGAAACAGTGCAGATTTACATTTTTTTTTAAAAAGCTACAATGGAAGTGAACGATGTAAAAAAAAAAAAGCTGCGATGCAAAAAAAAAAAAGAGAAAAAAAAAAAAAGTTACCTACTGCAAAAATAACCAACCAAATGACACATTGAAAAGTACACAAAGCAAAATTAAACAATAACCTTTACACTTCTTTGCTCGTCTTCTGTGCCTAGATTGAAAACACCAGTGCATCATTGTTATTGGTCTCCAGCTGTTCACTTCTGTTGTGGCTCCTTTTTTTTTTGAATCCTTTTATTTTGGCAGTAAGTCACTTTTTTTTCCATCAACATTTTTTTTTTTTAAATCTGCAATGTTTCCTTTTTTTATTTGCAGCAGGCTTCTTTTTTTTTGCATCAGTAACTTTGGTTGTGATTTCTTTTTTTTTTTTTTTTTTTGAAGCAGTAGCGGTTCTTGGCCACCGTAAAAAAGAACCACAAGAACTTGCAATATCAGATCATTTTTCAAAGTCATAAAAAGTGGTGTTATCACACAAATCAGCTTTAAAATTAAAGAAACTGCTTGCTGATAACCCCAAAATAGGAATACTATTCATTGGAAACATTTAATAATCAAATCCGCTTTCTCAGATGATCAAAACAATAACAACAAATTACAACAAACACATTCTCAATTATTTACAAAGTTTCAGGACCTTTTAATAGCCAAGTGCAAAGCTTTTGTTTCAACAGTTCTTCAGATGTCTAATAAAAAACTCAATGATCAGTAACTGCAGACAGAACAGATTTGATGACATAAAGAGCAGAAATAAAGGCCACATTTTTTCATGGTTTTATTTTTTTGGAATGAAATCTGGGTTAGCAAAAGTTTTATTAAAAGTTCTAATTCCTAAAACAACAAGCTAAAAATCAAGAACCATTTAATGGTTTACAGTCTGACAACAGGATTACTGCTGATTCAACACGCTAATCTGCTACAGTGCCATGTAAAAACAAGAATTTAACTGCATCATCCACAGCTATCACAGAACAAATGAAATGTATTGGCTTTTGATTCTTGGGTGAATTACAGGCTTGTTATCGAAACCGAAATCAGCTGCAGCTTTGTTCTCCAGGAGTCAGTCTACAGGACATCGATGATGGAGAAAGAGAGGAGGGGCTCTCACTGATGCATCCAATCAGATTTAGCAGCAGAGGCGTCTCCTGTCATCTTCTGACACAGCTGGTGAAGCACCACACGCCCTCTTTAGTGTTGGAAATAAATGAAGACGCACCCCTGTCTTTACTTTCCTTCCTTCAGTTCAGCCAGTCCAGATCGTCATCATCCTCTTCGTCATCACCAAACAGAGGGGTAGGAGGAGGACGGCCTTTTAGGCTCTAGACAAACAACAGAGAGAGGAAAAAAACACAACATCAGTGTTTTGCATTCACCACATTTTCATGGATTGAGCCCCAACAGAACTGCAGTTTAATTTATTTCACTGCTGGTTAGTCATTATGTAGCAACACTTCATAGAAATGGCTATATATTTCTTAGTAGCAGGCCATTTCTCATGGGATTCCAGTCTGGTAATTATTTAATGCTGAGAATGAAATCTGCTTACGAGAAAGAAGAAATACGAGAAATCTGCTTATGCTCTATACTGCAACCAGTCACCAGGGGGTGCTGTTGTCGTGGAGGCTTCACCCAGCGAGGAAGCAGATGATGTCCATTCAATATAGAGTCCATGATCCCAACTTGTTATTACAACATGCTCACTATACATTTTCTCCTTATGCATAATTCAAAGCAAAAAAAGGACAAGTACCATGTCAACATAGAGACAAATTAAAGTGAAAGGGCTGCAGAGCACAGGATAAAATCTAGACAGTATTCTCTTTACAAATCTGTCCTCACCAGCTCTTCCTCCTCTTCCTCCTCGCTGGCAGCTGGTGGGGCTTTGGTAGGAGTTGTGTTCTGGAAAAATGGCTCCTCTCCATTTTCCTCACTTATTCCCCCAGTCAGACTGAGAGAATAGCAGAAAAAAAGTTTGGGGGGTCGGGGAGGATGAAGCAGGGAGGAAGCAACAGTTAAAAAGGAGAGGTTAGTTTTGAGGAATACATGCATTTATCGTTCGGGATGGGGGGCACAGACAAATCACATCTGGGGTCAAGTTAGATCATACACAAACGATAAAAATGTTGAATTTATACCGACCTTGAGGACTGCATCTGGCAACATGTGACTGAGTCTGTAGTCAATCAAAATAGTTATGATAGCCGTTGAGCATTTACAGTGTAGTATAGATACAGCCCAGATTTAGACTTAGTCTAAATTTAGACATCTAAAAAACTTTTATTTTTAGACCTGTGGTAGCCTGATTTTAGACCAGTCATCTAGGCTACATTTAGACGTCTATTAGACCATAAAATGCTTAGTGGGGCCGCTCTCTCCATTAAAAACAATTTTAATCTTCCCACACTAAATTACAAAGAGTTGGCTAGTCTGAACAGGTGAGTTTGAAGAGGGAGAGAGTCAGTGTTCTGGATGTCTGGTGGGAGAGAGTTTCAGAGTTAAAGAGCAGAGCAGCTTAAAGCTCTTCTTCCCATAGTGCTGAGGCGGGCAGAGGGCACAATGAGGTGGACGGAGGAGGATGATCAGAGGTGGCTATGTGGAGCAAAAAGCTTCCCTAGACAATCTGTAAAACTAACAAATTTTATATCTTAATGTGAGACACTTTTTTGACTCTTGAAGCGGTCCCCTCTTATTGCACCTCTGAGGTTGTATTTGGAGTGTTTTAGTTTCAATAAGTAGCATCACCTCAGTAATTGAATCACTGCGGACTGAAGTTTGCTCTGACTGAACATTTCTGGGCCTCACTGACAGCCTGAGGACTCACCTCGTCTCTCCTCCTGAGCTCTTCTGCAGTGCGTCCGGTGGCGGAGGAGGGTTCACTGGCGGTGCCAAGGCTTTCAGAGAGGCAGCATTTGTTTCATTGTCCTCCACACTCTCTTTCTCCACCTCAGTGTTCACTGCAGCTTCTACTTCTGACACCTTTTCTAACATGTCTGCAGGTGGTGATCTGTCATCGGGTTCATCTGTGATGTCTGTTTTCTCTGAAGAAGTTTCAGGCTCTGCCTGTTTCTCTTGTATTACCGATTCTGCTGGTGTCTCTGGTTGTTCAGGTTCAGAGGTTGAAGCTGGTTTGGGGTCTGTGTTTTCTTCAACCACTGGCTGATTTTCTGTCTTTGACTCGTTTACTTCCTCTGTCTCTGTCTCTTCCTCTGTTACAACTTCCTGTTCCTTTTGCTTTTCACTGGGACTGTGAGCATCAGCTTCTTCTTCCTCCTTCTCTTCTTTCTCTCCGTTCACATGTACATCCTGCGGAGACGTCTTCTCTCTTTGCTTGACATCATCACTTCTCTCTTCTTTCTCTGCTTCTTCTTCAACGTTCCTCGGTTTCTGTGCGGGTCTGTCTGTCCGACTGAGCAGCTGTAGGGTTACATTCTGACCAAGAAAACAAAAGAAAGAAATGGTCACCATAGCAGATAAAGAACTTAAAGTTTATCTGTGTCTTGTCAGTCACTATCAGATCTCTTAAAGGAGGTGAAAAGAAACATCCTCTAGCTTCCTCACATTAAGTTAAAGCGATGACCACTGACAGAGAAAGCATGAGGAAATCTGAGCATCAACAAATGTCATCAACCAAACGCAACCACAAAAGCCACTTCAAACTTCAGACTTTGGTCATGTGACATGGAAGCTATTGAAGAAAATGTTCAAAATTTGCCTTTAAATTGAACTCAAAACAATTTTAGAGGACAAATTAGGAAAATAAAGAGGTGTGTCTTATTGTCCGACCTTGGTATTATTATTTGAAATCAATTTTAGGTTAATTGGTCATATGACATGGAAGCTATTGAAGGAAAACAGCCTTTTTTTAGAACATCAACTGGTAATTCATTGATGGTCCCTTATTCAACACCTGACAACAGCAAGGGTGCCGAGTAGATTTAACCTCGCTGCTGTTGCTATTACCAGATATGGAGCGTGACAGGACACCGGTAGATCCTCGTGAATGTCCGTCAGGTATCCAACCTAACACTAACTTCACCGAGGCATTTACATGAAAAAAACATTTGTTGCCTCGGCCGATTTTTTATGCGCACGTGCATTTTACAATTCGCACAGATCTAATATTAGACAAAATGCGAGTGAAACGGTTGCACTGTTGAGCCCTGAGTACAGTATCCTTACATTAAGTTTATATACTATGTTCTCTGTGTATATCAGTACTTTTTTTAAATTTTGAATGTGCATTACTCTGCCCTATTGAAATAAAATCCCATGTTTTTTCTTTTCATGTGAAGCAAAATATGACCACAGGGCACAGGAGGACTCCTCCTCAGCGTAGTTGAAACTCACCTTGATGGTAGTGACAATCACTCCCAGCACAGCTTGACCGCTGTAAGACTCACTGACATTGAACTCTCCTCGCAGAGAGTGAAACACTCCGTTCATCACGCGCTTCACCTGCAAACACACATATCGCACATCTCTGAGTCTTTTAAAGGTATGAGTGGTTTTGTAGAGTTCAGATTTAAGAAAACAACCCTATTAACCATATGCACATTTCTGCCTTGTGTAGAAAGGCACAAACAAAAACTAAACTATTGAATTCCTCCTCAGGGATAAAGTTCTTCTTATTTTATCTTAAACAGACACAAAAAGGAACAAAAAGACAATTTCTTGCATTACCATAAGAAACTAATGTATGACCTGAGGTTTTTTAAACAGCTTGTAATCATAATAATTTCTAATATTCTTGATAATCTGCTCAGTTAATTTGTTTAACAGTGTCTGCAGATAGAAAATAAGCATATTTAGTGGTTTGGTATTTTCCCACAACTGTTCAGATCAATCCCTCACAGCTTCTTCCACAGCAGCAACCCTGAAGTTTTCTACTCAAACAAGTGCTAAATTTTCTTTGACTCTTAAATATGTGATAAAATTAGGTTACAATAATATGTTTTTTTTTTAAATGAACCATTCATAGTTCAAAGTGTGTGTTAGGAAAAGAGGCACACCAGATTTCATATTCCACTAAAATTGGTAATTCAATTCATTTCAATTCAATTTAATTTAATTCAATTCAGTAAGTGAGCATTTCCTAGATGTCTCACCTCTGCTGCAGTGTCTGCTAACGCCTCCTGCTCTTCCAGTTTCTTCTCCAGTTCAGCCACCTTCTTTTCCATTTCCTCCCTCACAGCAAGACCCTGTTGCTCAAGAGCGGTGCACTTCAAGAGAGAAAACACACAGGGTGAAAGGAGTTGGTGACAAAACTCTTTTTGTCTGAATCACAAACCAAGCAGATCGGTTTATTGATGTGATTTCCTTTTAGATGACATCCATAAGAGTGTCTCTCTTGTTGATGATGAACATTTTATCAAATGAGAAGCACAAACTGTCATGAATCTTACTTTTTCCTGCAGAGCCTGCAGCTCTTCAGTCTGCCCAGCCTGTGGAGGTGCACTCTGTTCTTCTGAGTCTCTTGACTGCTCCAAAACCCTGAACTGAAGGGAGATACACAACAAAAACAATCAAGGCAAAAATCATATATACAGACTGATTATGTCAGATATTGTAATAGTATTTGATTCCATGTTTGCAGCTTGTGTTTGTGTTTGTCACGCCTTGTTTTGTGTACCTTCTCCTGTAGTTGTGTTAGCTTGTCCTGCAGAGCATCTCTCTGCTCAGTCAGCTCAGTGGACTCTCGGCTGTGCTGCTCTTTAGCTGAAGCCAACATCTGCTCACACTTCTTCTTCCACTCATCTTCCAGGTCTGCCTGCAGCTGAGATAACTGGGAGACAAACACGGTGTGTTCAAGTGAAGCTGAAGTATTTATCCCACCTATCTGAGCTGAGCCGAGTAGAAGGCTGGGAAAAAAATACTGTCACTGAAGCGCCCATGGGGAATTTTCAGTTTGGGGAGAAAAAGTGGCATACTTTAGCTCTATCTGCTGATAATTTTGATCAACAAATCCTATCTTGTGTTCCTCGCACAGTCAAATGTTTCCCTTATTGTAAGTATTTGCAGTTCAGGATGTCTCTCTTTGTCTGACACCTACCTCTTGGTGGTACAAATATATTTTCTCACTCATAATAAATGGTTGACAATATCAGGTTGGCTGGATGATTTTTTGGTTTTGCCGCTGATAGTTGTTTCTGTACATCACGGTTAAGAACTTGTCACAACAGCTTTCAACCATCCCAATTTCTACATCTTTTCCTGAACAGTTCACTTCCCCGGATCTTACCTGTTCAGATGCTGCGCTGTCAGTGTTGGTCCTGGCCTTTCGGAGCTTAGCTCGAAGGTTGTCCACCTCCTGCTGGCTGCTCCTGCGAAGCTCCTCCACCTCCTCATCCCGGCGCTGACGTTCATCCTGCCACTTCTTCTTCCTCTCTAAAAGATTCTTGAAGGAAACCAAATGCAATGTTCAGTAAAAGTCAAAATAATGTCTCCTATTTGAGATGGGGGAACTAAATCATGATGTTTACTCACTCTTTCTAGGCTCTCTTTGTCAGTCTTTAGATCTTGAATTTCCTCCTCCAAGTTGCTGATTCTCAGCTCCATCTCTTTACGTCTCTGCTTCTCTGAGCGATACTGAGATTGAGACCTCTCTACGGCCTCCTTCACCTCTGAAAAACATAAAGAAGCATAAGTTTAAGTTTACTAAAAGGGAAACTGGTCTAAGTCCTATGCTAAAATGTTGATATTGACGATTTGCAAATCATTTAGGGCCTTTTTTTAAAGCACAGACATTAACCGTGTGAAAAAAAACTATAAATAAATCGTTAAAATTCCCCACTTGTTTTTTCAGAATCATAAAAACAGCATGAACACAAACCTTCCAGCTGTGCTTGCAGGGCAGTGTTGAGTTGGGTCTGACTCTCTGAGTCCTGCAGCACTGTATTCAGTTTCCCCTGCAGTTCAAGAACCTTCTGCTGGTGAGCTGAAGCCTCCAGCTGCAGCTGAGACAGCCGGGCTGTAGACGAGGCCAGATCCTCTGTTAGACGGACCTGATTGACAAATGGAGAGGGGTTGTTGTTATCAGCATCTGTCTAATTACAGTGAACTGAAAACTAATGACAGACAGTGGAGTAACTGACTGACAGCCAGGATGAGTGTCTACTGGTGCTAGTGATGTGAGCGGCATGACCCTGTGGGAGAAAATAATGGATGACTGATGAAGAAAAATAAAGAAGACAAAAAAGGTTAGTTAAATCTGAATGAAGGATAACTAGAAACAGGATGATTCCAGAGGCAGAGGGTCAAATAGCAGTTTCACACCATTTTGTGCGACTGTTAAATATGCAGATTGTTCACTGCTTCGGACACTTGTCTACTCTGTTTTTTTCTAAATGGACACCGTTCGTCATATTTTTACGGCACTGAGATCAGAGAGTTTGTGAAAAACTCAGAGTTAGACTGTCCTTTCAGGTTGATTTTTTCCCCCACTTATTTGCATCCACTATTTGACCCCAGTCTGGTGGAGGCACACCGAGAGAGCAGGCTCACCTCGCCAGAACTCAGGTCCTGAGGTCGAGCATGCTAAGAAAAGAGACCGGTAAATGCTGGATTTTCATGTCAGGAAATGGTTACAGCAATACCAACTTAGTCTTAAGTCTAGATTCTACAGTGTTTGTAGAGAAATACAAATTTTCTGGCTCTCTCCTCAACAAGAGGAAGTGTTTTTATGTAGTTAGCTTTATTTTAACATTGTTTGAGTGTTAAGTATATTTAGAGAAATATGCATCATTGAAAAAAAGGAAACAAGTCCTGTATCTTTAGCAGAGCATTGTTTGGACTTTCAAAGACTTTTAAAGAGTGTAATTTGCTTTAAAAGAAAATAGATTTTATTTTTCAAAAACAGATGAAAAGCTACCCTTTAAATGTTCAAATGTAATTACTCAAAAAAAAAAGAAAAAGAAAGAAACCTGAGTCAACTCATATTTCTATTTTTGACTGACACAAGTTAACGTATTTTTCGCACTATAAGGCCACCGGATTATAATGTGCACCGGATAATAAAGCGCGTTAAGCCAAACAAAACAGTCAGATAAGCCAAACTTTATTTAACTCATTCAATACTCAGTGCTCTGACAAGCCATCAGGCTGTGCGGCTTTGTAGCTTACCGAAGTCGTAATAAAACATTTTGACAGATTTTTGAGCGCTGTGTACCGCATAAAATCAGTTCCAGGTCAGTAAGCACAACCAGAATTCATACATAGGGCGCACCTGATTATAAGGTGCACTGAGGATTTTAGAGAAAATTAAAGGATTTTAAGTGCGCCTTATAGTGCGAAAAATACGGTATTCAAAAATGACTCCCTCTCTCACCAGATAAATAGAACATGTAGAAACACTGAAAAAAGGAGGCGTATTATATTCACTTATGAAAAAAAAAGTCTGTCTGTTTTTACAAATTGGTAAAGTCATGATCTCAGATTTATATCATAAAAAGTCTGTTTATATGGCATGTTTTTTTCTTTGGTCTGACCACTCAGAGCACTCTAACATTACATTACATTCACACACTGACGGCAGAGGCTGCTACATGAAGCGCCCATCGGTATCATCTAATCCGGTTCACATTCTGCTGGGCCCAGCCAGCAGGAGTGCTTTTTAGGGGACAGTCAAGTGTCACCTCAGAATGTGGACCCCATGCTGGACTTTTGGGTATCAAACCCCTGAAAAAAAATTCAGCTCCTCTTCTGAATCAAAAACACAGTTGCCTTAGTTGCAATCTGTGGTTAGCTATTCAGAACGTACGCCCTGATGTGCCAGAGCAAAATGGATCAACTCATACTGATAACCAAAATCAACAATACCATGTTATGTTAAAACATGAATATTTCCCAATGGCCCCAACCTTGAAGAAAAAAAAATAATAATAATACTGTGTTAAAGTCGATTCTGTTTTAAGTCCGTTTTTTAAAGTGTAATAAGCACACCAGCGCACTCTGGTGAACAAACTATGCAACTACAACATTCCTTCTACTTGCACTTGTGTATCTGAATTCACCGCTCAAACTAGATTTAGATCTTGATGTCATCCACACATCAGACCTGCTGACCTGGAGCATGTAGCGTGAAAATCAGAGAAATTGAGTGAATTCGTTGGAGTTATTTCTGCATTCTCTGAGATATTGACCGTAGAGTAGCTGCATCAAAGTGTTATCTGGAGTCAATCTGTCTTCACTTGATGGGCCAGGTAACCAATCAGGTGTTAGGATCCGCACACTGACTTATTATTATATCATTGACACATTGAAGTATTTACTTAAAAAGATGGATTCATATATTTCATTCCGTCTCCTTTTGTCCTCCATAGCCATGATATATTACCATGTTATGCAAAAGATGTTGGGGTTCCTCCAAACATGAAAAATACTCTGTCTATGAAACATTTTATATTTTGTTTCAAGAGTAACTTTGGACTTCAAGATTTGCAAACCCTACAAGTGTTGTTTTTATTTTCTCAGTTTTATGTATTGATCAATTCAACCAGCAAAGAGAGAGCGTCACCTTGTCCTGCTCTGCCTGTAGGAGTCTGGCCTGGCACTGTTCACTGGAGGACTTGAGGGTGTCGTTCCTCTGTTCTAGCAGCAGGTTACTCTGTTCCATGCACCTACGAAAACAAAACCAAGAAGACAGAAACCTTATTAAACCTTCCTCATGTACTAAAATCTTTACTGGTGCTTTCTCTTGGTTAAAAAAGACTGAGCTGCTGTCACTTTTAGTCCAGCAGATATGAATGTTTTATATTTTTAAACATTTTCAATACAAAGCTCATTCACCTCTGGTTCTCATTGATAAGCTCTCCAATCTTACGGTTTTGCTCCTCAACACGGGAGCTTTTCTCAAACACCTCCTTCTTCAAACATTCATTTTCCTAAAAAAGAAAAACACACACGGGCTTTCATCTTTAGAAACGTACAAAACACAGAACAATGTCATGAGATTAAAAAAAGTATTTCTGATTGAAGATGAACTGAAGAAAGCCCAGATGTTTTTACCTGGACTATTCTTTGGATGTTGTGCATGATCATGGAAGTTTCCATGGACATGTTGGGTACACTCATAGAGAAATTTCCCTGCTTCTGAAGCTCATCTATCTGTCAAAGTAAGAAGAAAAAAAACATTGCATGAATTTATTTCCTCTCTGTTACGCACTTTTTCATTCCCAGTTTCTCTTTTTTTTTACCTTTGAGGCCAGCTGATCCACTTTATCTGCTACTTTTCCAACCGATAACCGGATCTCTGTGTTGTGTTGTCGAGCCTCTGTCATCAGGAATGAAGTTACTTCATTGGAGCCTGAAAAAACAAAACATTTACAGAGTGTCAGTTTTATTAGTTAGGACTCAATTCCAAGAGTATCTGCAGCCATGAAGCATCAAAAACAATCAAGGAGGCCTTATGAAATAGTGGAACGATACTTCATACAACACTATCTTCTTATATTGAGTCTTTTCTCACCGGTTTGCAGGATTGGCACTTCAAACTTTGATGTTTGGTATATTGTGACCCCTCTTTTGACACTTCTGACGTTGCTACTTTTCTTTTTTTGTCCTCTCTGTGTCAGGCTAAATAAAAACTGCATTGTAAGGGGATGTACACACTACAATCTTGATTTCAATCATGATTTCTTATGGATGAATCAATCCGTCTTACCCATGTATGGGACAGCAGTTGCAGGGTAAACCTGGCTGACAGGTTGCAGCTGAGATGGAGCCACAGAGGTCTGTGTGTACAGGTAAGGCTATGAAACAACATAATGTATTGAAATACAACAATATTTTCGCATCACTTCCAGCTATGCACATACTGATTTTGAGATTAACTAAATCTGATGAGGTGTTACCTGAAAGGCATGGCTACTGCCCGGCAGTCCAGACTGAGGGGCAGAAGTGCTCAAAACAGGGAGTAAGGCAGAAGGTTGAGCGGTGTGAAGATGAGAATGTGCTACAGGGAGAACAAAGATCACATTGAGGTGAATTTCTCATGAAATTTTGAAGCAGCGTACAGTAAACCGATATGAGGAGTATGTTTTGTGTAAACTGGAGGAGGAGGGTCACCATGTGATGGAGATGGAGCTGTAGCAGGAGCTGAAGCTGGAGCAAAGGCTGCAGCTGGGGTTGTAGCTGGAGCGGGAGCAGCAGAGGAGATGGGTACCGGGGAGGGTGCTGCAGGCTGTTCCTTCACTCTGCCACCGCTGGTGTCTTGCTGAACAAAGCAACAGGTAGAAAAACGGTAAATCCTGAAATCTAGAAATAATGTCAACGGTAATGCACAGTAGGGCTGTCCCGATACCAATACTGATAAATGTTCGAGCTAGGAATTACGTCACACCAGAGTAACCAGTGTTTCAGTTACCAAGTCAGAAAAAAGCAAAATTGTAGGCGAAAACAAGATGGCTACATCCACAAAAGTTAGTTAAGCGGTTGTTATTTTAGTTATTTAAGTTATTTTAGCATCCCCTTTCGTAGATGTAGCCATCTTGTTTCTGCCTCTGATTTTGCTTTTTTCCGACTTGGTAACTGAAACGCTGGTAACTCGGGTGTGACGTAACTCCCAGCTCGGACATCTGACTTCCGAGGTCACTCGAACGCAGCAAAAATCTCCGATATCAGCACTCCGATACAAACAGTCCATTCTAGACTCTACCTCTAGATAGCAGCGCCCAGATCCAGCATGTATAGCCCACAAAATCACAACAACAGTGTGTACTAAGGTACTAACAAAGTAGCAAGGAGTAGGAGTGATATCGGCTGCGAGGCAGTGTTTTTCGTCCGAAAAAGACATTGCAGATGAGTGCAAAACTTGTAATGCACAAGTTTGGGCCAATATCGCATCAATATCGGTAAGTAAAAAAGTTGTATCGGCACACCCCTAATGTACAGCACCTCTATTGTAGAGATATCAAGTTTTTTGGATATATTTCTCCCCTTCTTAAGCTTTAAAAAAAAAGACCTTTTCTTGAATTTTTCATTGATGATTATCCTCGACAGGATTCAACAAACCTACCTCGAGCTCAGAGTCGCTGGATTCAGGCTGGCCGGCTGCCCCTGTCAGAAAAGGCAGCATGGGCTGACCCATCTTTGCCATGCGAGAGATCAGCTTTGCTTTTGTGGCGTCTGGATTCTAAAATTGAAAAAAAATAAGCCATCATTAACAGAGCTAAAAAAATTAATTATATATATATATTCAATACAAAAGCTCACGTTTAAAATAAAAGAAACACTTACAGCCAGCTGTTCACTGAGAGAGTTCGATTTCACGCGGACTGGTGGCTCCCTGAATGACAATGAATCAGAATCAAAATATTTTATTATTATTACACTTCATCTTAAAATACAAATATTAATAGAGGAAGAAGAGAATTAGGAGTGAAACCAGAGTAAATATGACAAAAATGTACAAAAGCACAGTGTCTAGGAATAAGAAATAAGCTGTGTACAAGGAGAGAGTAGGAAGTTATGTCTATAGTACCAGTTATCCCCAGTTACAGTACCAGGATACAGATAGTTCTGCTAGTGATTCATAAGGTTCAATCTTACCCTGGTCTGCCTGGACCTGAAGCAGGAGTCTGTGCTGGTGGCTCTGGGGCCAAATTCTCCACACTGGGGGCCGGAGACGGAGCAAGAGAGGGAGCAGCTGAGTCTCTAGAGGAAGCACTGGCCCGATCAGAGTTGCTGTCCCTGGCAAACTTCACCTGGGGGCAAAAAAAGATATTCAGTTTCTCTTCTTTAGGAGGTCATGTGAGGGGAGGAGCTTCTTCAACAGGGAGGAAACCCAACATTTTAGGACAAGAGTAAGTGAGGGAATGCTGCTGAGAGTTACCCTCCGAGGCTCTGCTTCAAAAATAAGTGTGCTGTTAGCCGGGACTCGGTTTGGAACTCCCTTGGATCCGTAAGCAAGGTTGGGTGGGATGATTATGAGGCGACGTCCACCCTTCTTCATCCCTAGCATCCCTTCCTCCCAGCCCTGCAGGACAGATTGAAGGATCTGAACTCTTGAACTCAGAAACCTTGAATCTATATCATCAGTGTAACTTAAATGTTTATGTCTATAAATAAATTCAGTCTCTTCTTAGCAAAGATGTTTCTGCGGGGTGGATTCATTCAGAGCTGTTTTGACTCACTTTGATCACTTTCCCAGCTCCCACTTTCAGTCGTAGCAGTTTGTCTTTGTTCTGGTTAGAGTCAAACATCTGAAAAGACCGTGAACATTAAGTAATGTGCCATCAACAAAAATTAGGCTGAAAAAAGGCAAAAAAATAAAGGTTAATTGATTAATGCTGGACCCCTTCCTGACCTGTCCAACGCTGTGGTTCTGCAGAAGCCAGCCTGTGTACACCACCTCCAAAGAGTCTCCATTCTCCACTGCCTGGCCCTCGCCCAGACTCAGATCCTGAACCACCACGATATCTAACGAAGGGACGCTGTTTGCTTTCGCCAAACAAACCTGGAGAACAGAAAAAAAAGTCATTTCAGGCATCAAAGTTTGTGTCTCAGACTCCAGAATGCAGATGATAGCGAGTTGTCTTCTGTGTATCTAACCTCTTTGCAGAAATCTGATGAAGTTTTGTCCGACTCGAACATCAGTGACCAGTTCTGCCTCTGGTCATCGTAAAAAGTGCAGTAATTGTTTGGCTGTACCTGAAGGAGAGATACAACATGGGGATAAATACAAGAACTTTATTTTTATTGACTTTATTTTTAATGTTTTTTAGTTGTCATTTATCTGGAATCTCAGATCTGGACATCACATCTTCTCCTTACACCACCTCTGATTGTCAAATAAAGTCAGACCTCCTCCTTTCTTCTTGCCACTCGCTTTATCATCCCTGTCTGACCTTATGAGAGTGAAGGCGAGTGGATCCACACTGTGGTCCAAGTTGGTTTGATTTAAGTCTGGAGCAGATGCAGACGTGATACAAACACTGTTGATCAATAAACTTCTTATCTGTGCACCCTCACACTCACAATGTCAAACTTTGGGTCTCTGGAGAAGCTTTTAGCACTAAAAGAAAAACCTATGTTTACATGTACCAGCACTAAAAACAGGCCAACAACTCTTCTTGAAAAATCTGTTTGTCCTTCACTCTAAAAATCAAAAGAGCCAAAATCAGTCAGGAAACCACAACTGGATCAGAAACTAGGGCTGGGCGATATGGCCTCAAATCAATATCACGATATATTGAGCAGTTCACCTCGATAACGATAAATGGACGATAACTACTCCACAAGTTGCTCACCCCCTCCCACATCAACTTCGTTTACTTCAGCCGCTACAACTGTTGAACCATCCTCCATCTCCTCACCTGTCTTCCCCTCTTTGGTATTTTGGTTTCCCTACCTACACACATCCAAAACCAACTTTTGTTTATTTATTTTTTTGACACCGAATATATTGACATGGGAAAAATGATGTTGGTTATTGTCGTAAATTCTTTTTGTTTATCGCCCAGCCCTATCAGAAACTAAACAAAGAAAAGACATGGCTCTCAACCCTACATAAACCGATCATGTGAGCACCTTTACGAAGTGTTTTAAATGAGTCAAAATTGTCCACAAATATTCCAGTGACACCTTCCACACAGATTGAAGTAAAATCAGCAAAATCTAACTTTTCCTAGAATTTGACTGACTGCTGAATAATTGATCTTTTTACAGAACAATGAGTGTACTGTGTATGAGAGTAGGATTAATCCCTAAAGCGGAGGGATACTGACATAATGCTGCTTGTGTTTTAATTACCAGAAGCACTTATAATTTTCTGTACGTTGAAATTTTAAGATGACCACGACTAAATATCATCAATCTTAAAGGATATCCCACACTTTAGGGAAAACATTTTCCGACCTCGAAACAATCCAGATGTGTTACCATATATTATAAGACCTTATAACCAGTGCAGTGTCTCCTTAGTGTGAGATGTAATGCATCTCATCACGTGTTTGTCAGGATGCATTCCCCATCCTTCACATCTCTACTCACCGTGAAAACAAAGCCCACGTGAATCTTGGCAGCAGTCACTTGTTTCTGCTGGCTCAAGTACAGAAGCAGCTTGTACTGCAGGAGAAAAAAGGGGGGAAAATCAAAAGGCCATACACATAATCTCAAACAAGTGACCAGTTTAAAAAAAAAAAAAGTTCAAACCTCTTTTGTTGTGTGGCTACCCAGTACAGCTGCTCCCAGTTTGCCCTGCTTCACATACTGTCCGTTAATGCTGCACATAGAAGAAAAGGAGAAAAATCTTTTCACTTGAGGTCATTATATGATTCCTGTAGTGTAAGATAGATTTACTTAATTGTTTTAAGCTTTCTGTGAATGTCACAAAAATATCTGCAGCCTGGGGTTTATCAAGTTTCTGAAAATATATGACAAAATCAAAATTAAAGTGTTTTTTAAATTGGATGGGGTGACAGGGATGCTCACTATCTGAAGGCTTGAACGGCGGTGGCGAATAACACTGCTGGAGCTCCGGGTGGTGGTGCTGGTTTCTGAGTAGGTGGTGCTGGAAAGACACCCAAAACATATTCAGTTCAGCTTTTATCATTACAAAGCTCAAACTGGAGTAGCAGATTTTTTTTTTTGTTGTTGTTGTTGTGACTCTCGTTTACCCGCGTTGGAGCTCTTTCTGGGCTGTTTTGGAGCTGTGTACTGAAATGAGTCGTTTCCTTGACTGGCTTCCTGGTCGAGTCCAAACAAGGAGGCCAGTTTAGCCCTGTGAGGAGATAAAGTGTACAGATCACAGAGATATCAGCATATTTGCCTTCAGATGTATTATCAACACGGCATAGACACAGTTATAGACAGAATATCACAGATGTAAGAGAAGACCTTTGATGCTGCACTACAGGACTTGTTCCTACTCCCAAATCTACCCATATTGATATACTGTTATACTGTCAAAACGTGCAGTTTAATCTGGATCGATGTGATATTATTTTTTACTATTTTATGTAGATTTTTTTGTGATGTATGTCGTGAAAAACTGCATGAAAAACTTTGTGCCAGAGTGGATGAATCATCATCTTGAGTAAAAGAAGTTGCATGAAATTGCCTGAAATTTCCTCTTTCCACGCTCCTCCCAGACAAAGATAACACTCTACACATCTGTGGTTTTTTTTCCACAGTTGTAGACACACTTGTTCTGTCATCTAAGCAGAGAGACTTACAGAATTTAAATACTCTTAATGTAGCAATGTCTCTCTCTGCTCCTCATTGACAATAATGCAAAGATTTTCTGAGAGAAGCAGAAGGGACTCCTGTTTATAACTTGTATGTCCAAAACACCAAAACGGATTAAATACATGTTTTACCTCAAAATTCAACATATAATCAGTCATAATACAATACAATACAATTTGAAAAAATGTTAAAAAAAAACTCTTTTTCACTTGGTTATGATAGCGTGTAGAATTTTGAGGTGAAATGCAGATAGTTCTTCTCGTTCTGAATACTTTACATATGCACTGTAAACATTAGGGGTGGGAGAAAAAAATTGATTCACATAAGTATCGTGATTTTTTATTTTACAATTTTTAAATAATTCTTCTTAAAAAAATGACAACTGTACCAACTTCTACTCTATTTTTTTTCTCAAATTGCAGAAGAAATCTTAAAAACTAACTTATGTGTATTTTGGGGGGAAATATGGTTCCTGGAGTAGCCAGTAGAAAATCATAATCATTCAACTGTTTCACTGGTGTTAAAAATGCAGACTAAAAATAGAGGAAAATCGACAATATTGTTGAACCGAAATTTAAATCAAATTGGCAAACAAATCGAATCATGAGAAAAGCATATCGTCCCAGCCCTAGTTTATATAACCTTAGTATTCCGCTTAATATTTTATGAATTTCTCAAAGTTTGTATGTATTTAATATTCTTTTATCTTACTTGTTTACTCTTTTTTTGTACAGTAACGTTGTGTAAAGAATTGGCATTTTAAGCTAAATTACTATCAGACAGTCTCTGGGAACTATTTGATGATTCATTGACTGCCTCCCAACCCCCATCCCTCCTTCTGCTTGGCAACTTGTTCCCTACATACACTTGTTGTAGACTCTATGCCCTTGTAGCTTGACCAGGTAAAATCTGCACTTGACCTCAACTTCTTTCTTTTGTTTTTATGAGGAAGTACCCCTCTGAATTTTTCATGCCTGCAGTGTTCTCTGGTTTTATCTGGTTCACATAGTAATGCCTGTTTTACTAAAACTTGACAATCAGGCTTTCCTCATCTGTGGCGGTAGGCAAACAACTTTCTGCTGGACTAATTGTACCAATTTACAGCCAAGCTTGGTAAAATTCACAAGGTTATATATTTCTAAGATGAGAAAATCGTTGCATGAACTATTTAATCTTCCATGAACGACTATTTGATAATAACCAAACTATGAATCATCCCTAATTTGGATATCTGTCTAGAAATTCCCTCAGGCTTCATAGAGTACTATATTATTCCATCTAAATATAGCTTGTGTACTGCAGAAATTATCATTTAGATCTGCTGCTCATCTACCAAGTAATTTCTGATTTTAGAAAAATGCATTTCTTTAAAGCCTGAATCAAATTCCAACCATCAGCTTTGAGAGAAAGAGGGAGACAAGCACCCTGGACACCAGCTTATCTATCACAGGGCTTTGATACAGAACGAGATACTGCCAGATACACTCATACCACGAGTAATTCAAATTGGCCAACCTAACAAGCATGTCATTAGACTGTGGGAAAGACCCAGAGACAACCTGTAGAGAATCCTCTAATACACAGGAATCTGTCCAGAAAGGCTCCAAATGAGAAACAAAGTAGGAACCATGGTCAGCTTTGTATCTTTATCATTCTGTGCCGACCTTGATGACAACTTTCTCCCTATCTTTGGAAACAGTCTGATTTAATAAACAGGAGGAGTCAGCTTGGTGGTCATGTCGCTCCATGACAAATCTGCAAACTCCATTATCTGCATTAAGGGGAAAAAATGAGAGTAAAACTAATTTCTTGGTATTAGTGACAGTCCTCTGCCACAAATAACTTCTCATAGACCTTCAACTTGACTTGTATTTTAAACTGGTTATGAACCCATCTTAGTTGTCAAATGCTGAATCTAAAGGACCTAGAATCCGAGACAAGACCGTGAGGAGGACGAATGACTCCTTCTACAGGCCGTCCCAAGTTTAGATCCCGTTGAAGGATGCAGACTGAAGAGCCTTTGTGTAAATTTTCACAGCAAAGTTCCAGAGTAAGTGATGCAGTGGCATGTCAAAATGAAGCAGAACGATTCTGTTCCAGGGGAGACACAACTCACAAACCTATAGGAAGGATAAGTCAAGAAATACAAAGCAGAGAACCAACTGAAGCAATAAATGGACAGTGTTGGTGTTTGGAAACAGCACAGGTCAACAAAACTGGTCCTGAACTCTGTCTCTGAGTCCTCCACAGGTCTGTGATTTATTTCTTCTACTTATGAAATTCATAGTGAGAAACAGCTGGACTATAACATTATTCATGTTGGCCTGTTGGAATGTTAATAAGTTTTAGCTCGAGCAAAGAATTTCTAATACAGATTACCTAAAAGTTGAGTTGAGTTGAATCTGTTAGTTGTAGGCTAAATGAGGAAAATAAAGGGAAATAAATCAAAGTTTCCAACAGCTTTAAGTGCTGCGAACAGTTTAGTAAAAAAGTCCTTTATACTAGTAAAAACATCTCCTTCTTCTACAAAACAAAGCTAACAGTTTTGTCCACAGGGGGTGCGAAATTAGTGTATAAGGAAAATGAATGATGGTTGCAGTAATGCCAACAAACTAGCTGTCCTTTGCAACGTTATCTCATTGACACATGTGGTGTGTAAAGTTTCCAAAAGTTCTGTTTCAAACTTCTTATTCCTGGGTCAAAATGAATTTTCCTTCTCTGATTATTAAATTACAACATTTGCACTGATTTCAAACAGAGAGGAGAACATATTCACTCATAATAATGTGGAAGAAGCGCATTTCTAATTCCACCTGCAATAGTTTTGATGTATGTAACAATTAGGCAAACACACCCACACACACATACAACACATGGCAGTACCAGAACAGTGACTATCTTCATCATAAGTATTAAAAAGTATTGAGTAACGACACCAACTTTGCTTTAGTTTCAGGACAAGACTAAAACTGGCCTTGCTGAATCTACTGACCCAGGTAACTCCCTCCAATGGTAATCACTGGGATCCCCAAGAACAGCCATGTTGAGAGCCGTCAGGCCCTCATCCTTGAAGGTAAGGAGCTGGGATGAAAAGAGGGAGTCCCTTTGCATGTGTGAGAAAAAATCCCGCTAGTGTACGTTCCAACGCTCCGCGTCCCGGGCTACCCCTGATCTCCTATCCCCGGGGGCTCTCACACCAACATGGTATATTTAACAGCATAGCAAAAAAAGGGAGGAACTGACCAGAGCGGCTCTGACTTCTCCTCTGCCTGCCGAGCAGAGCTAGGCTGTGGCAAGAACCTTCACCTTACTCCTCTAACTGGCAGCATGTGAGAGGAATTAGCCGCCATAACACCCCTCCCTCTGCAACACAGCAGACCCTACACAGGCTGAGCCCATACTGCTGCTGTCACACAATGCTATCACACATAGTGGTCAGGCTGGAAAATGTGGCAAAGCTGTGACTGACTGCCCCGTAGATCAGAGAGGAATTGTATTAATAGTAAGTGAGTCAGTGGTGAAACAAAAGGAGCACACTTGTAGTTTGTAAGACATCTTGTTTGTTTGTCAACACCGGTATAACCTCTATTTTTAGAAAACATGTAGAAAACCTGAAATTTATGACTTGTTTTCTGAGTATTTCAAGCCAGCTCTTAATCGCTAACTTTTTATAATGGTGTTTGGTGCATCAAACAGTAATTCGACTCTTCAGGGACAATGTTTTGGCCAATCAAAGAACAATTGTGACTGTATTTGCTTGAGCTAAGGTGCTCATTAATGAATGTGAAATCAAGCGTCATGGCAGACATGGACACACTATTAAAAAAAACAAGCTGGTCTGCAACAGGCATGTGATAACTCCTGCAGACCACGTTAAATCAGTTGGTCAAAGCTGATTTGATCTTAAATAATGTCCCATGCACTCAACACTCGTAAATCTAGTACAGATGCAATCTTTTTCTAGTTTGTCACAGTAATAACATAGTTTAAAATTGCTTACTTTACATGCCACATCAAAAACCAGCAAAAGATTAAGAGTAACCACAGTATTTTAACTGCAGTACGAATTAACCCTTTGTGAAGAGGAGATTTTAGGTTTGATCAAATATTTAGCTGTAAAATCAGAAATAAGTCACACAGCAAAGACAAGATTTATCAGTATAATATATTATTCTCCCATTCGGCATTATGAGATAGCATAATTTACATAAAATCACAGATTTATGCTGAGTTTTTGTGCCTTTTTGTTACCGAAGTACACAATTTAGAAGCAACAGATATGAACAGAAATCTGATTTAAAAAGCTTCTTAGTGCAAAACAGATCCAGCCACAATAAGAGACAATTTACAAGGCGTCCTAAATGTGTATGATAATTTGTTCAAAAGCATACCCTTCTAAAAAAAAGTCGCATAAATTGACCAGATTTTAAATGTGAATTGGCTGACCCTATGACAGAACAGCTAACAGAGGCGAAGCTAGTTCGCTCGCCTCTGTTAGCATGGAGCAGTAAACCTGATGAATGAGGACAAACTCACCCCCCCGAAGGAAACAGAAAGTCTCCGTCTTCATCGTCTCCGGCAAACATCTTCAGAGTTTCAAGAGTTTTGTTGTTAAATAAAAAGAAAAGCACAAAGGACAGAGCTATTTTTACATGACTTGCTTGTTAAACTGTGACTTCCCCTTCCTGTTTGTGGGGGAATCGATCAGCTGACTTTCCACCTGATCCTGCATCAGTGAGCGACACCGACCACTGGAGAGCGCCAAAGATCTGCAGGATTTTTTAAATGACCCACAAACGCAACAGCTGCTTCTCACAAGACCTGTGCTGCGTTCACGGAACTGTTTGTAGAGGATTTAGAGCAAGTTTAACCTTCCTCCTGTGTTAGCTTTTACTACGCACCCACCATGTTTAGGGTCGGTTTTGACCCATGTCTTAAATACATTAAAAACAATTCTCTATCATCCAAGTTGGTTCTTATCTCAAGGTTACTTTGTTAGGCTTCATTATCCATTAAAATATTGCTTATAATATTTTTTGTTGTGGGCCTCTGGGCCTTTCTTTGTCAGTATACCCCAATACAAGTGTTGTGTCAATCACGAACGATTATTTTAAAAGAACCGAATCTTTTCAGTGAACGTACTGAGCCAAATTACTTCCTCAAGTGATTCCTTCGTTTCTCACTTCAGTTGAGCTGTCAGCGGGGCATTTAAAATCTAAAGCTGGTTGGTGCAGACCCTAACACAGGAGGAGGGTTGAGTCTCAGTGAATCACATTTTCTGCAGCAAAAGAAAATAGCAAAAACAAGGAGGGGACTGCTTCAGAATTACTTGGTAAAACTTTCATACCAAACAGCTAAATAAACACATTTAATAAGAGAAAACAGTATGACTACAAATAACTAAAACCCAATGGAAAATTTTTTCTGCATTATTTTTTTAAGACAGATTCAGATGTGACCACATCTTTTTATATTATGATCATATAATGAACACTTTGAGTAAATTCCTTTCCCAGAAACTTAAAAATAAATAACGTGAGAGTTTTGAACTAATAAGTATTTCTCTATTGCATTACATGGTAGTGGGACAAACTTAAAAGTATTTTTAATTAGCATCATCTCTGCATATCAGGAAAGATCTACTGTAACATCAGACCAACAAAATAAGGAGCATTAAGGGTTCAAAAAGATGATTTCAACCTTTGTACCAATATAATAAGATCCCTGAAATCCGGATTTCAGTGAAAACACACAACACAGCCAATCAAGTGCAAAACAAAGCGACATGTTTCTTCTTATTCAAGCATTTCTTACTGAGTCATTGTTGTTTAAAACTTTAGGAGCAGATAATGTTCCCACAAACCTGTTATCAAATGCCTTTCTGTCATCAGGTTAAAAATAGATCTCATTACATTCAAATCAACACTACTACATTTCCTACAGCCATTGTTAATTCATTTTAAGACCTCTGTCTTCTCCCTCTGCCAAGCTCATTAAAAAAGCTGCATACTCTGGCCGGACTCCAAATAGCAGTTTGATCCGTCATAACATTGTCTCAGAGAGATCAGACACATTCTGTAGAGGGACATAAGCACCGGTGTTTGAATAAATGTCATTCTTTCAGTCACTCCGGCTGATATTTCACCTTCAAATGCAAAATTGTATTTCTTTATTTTACTTTTATCCACTCCATTTCTTTGCTCTGAGAAAAGTTACGCTGCATGTCATGGTATCATTCTGCACCTGAAGATAGCTCTTGACCCATAAACACATGACAAGCCCAGACATAAACTTAATTTCGAGGTCAAAGATCAGGCCTAGTAAGTAAACAAAATATAGTTGTTAATCAAAAAAATTATACTAGAAACTTAACACATGCACTGGCAAATATTTTTACTCATTAGGAATGAGTCCTTATGTTTGGATCAAAATATCTGGAAATAAAAGGTTTGTCTGGACATGTCATGTGGTTTGTATTTCCGTTTTTCTTACTTGCTTTGGCTCAGTTTTCAGACAAAAACGTTTTTTTTAACATAAGCTCAAATCTCAATCGATTTTAATGCATTACTGTTATTCTGAACAAATGTTAATGGCTTTAAAATGTGACTAATTTGTATTGGTTATAAAATTCAAGTCACAACTGACAGTCTGCAACATATTATTAAGCAACAACTAGCAAAAAAGTGTTTCAGAAATGCAATGTTGAAGCTGCTGTGAGGACATATTTCACCATTACATTACTGTCTTATGTATATAGGTTAAATGTCTAGTTCCAGTTTGTAAATGCCTTGTAATTTTTATAATTTTTTGTAATATTTCATGTGTAATGTTTGTACAAAGAGGGCAAAGTTAATTCCCTGTATGTGTACACATACTTGGCCAATAAAGCTGATTCAGATTCAGATGTTGTTTTGTGTTGGTTTGGGCGCCCCCTGTGGACAAAGCAGCACTTCATGTATCCTCACTAATAATGTCCTAAACATTTGGAAGTGTAGGTCTTCAACTAAAAATCTCATTCTTGTTTTATTTTACCAGACAAATAGATCACATATGGGGGGGTCTTGGCAGGATGCCTTCTGTTGTTTAGTCTGACACCTGCACCATCAGTGGTGGTCAGGGGCCAGTTACCAGTTTTAGGGAATGCAGTGGTCTGAATTGTCATCATTTCAAAACCACTCATACTTTCCATAATACCAAGAGATGTTTGTTCCACCAAACGACTCAAGAAAGTGCAGGAATCTTGGGTAGTGTGCAGCAATACAACTCCTCCATGTCCGGTTGGTCCAAACAGTCGGCTGTATGCAAACGTTCTGTGAATTTATCATGACAGCTTCCCTCCCAAACTTTTTCGACTTTGAAAAAGGCAAAGTCGGCTGTATGGCAACACTTCAGGTAAAATATCATGTTCAAACAGACATCGAATAGCACTAGTGAAATGAACACTAAGAGCTTGCTAGGCAGATAACATGGTTGATCAACTCACTAGCATCAACTAGAGTAATAGATTTCGACAGTATCAGGTCTATACTTTATTTTTTTTGTTTTTGTTTTTCTGGCTTATGTCCTGACTTGTTATATGAGTCAATATATGAGTGATGAGAAAATTCTGCTCTCATTCCTTGTGCATCGACACTGTCATCACAAGAAAGCATTATTTGATATTATTGTAAGTAGCAGCAAAGCTGCGTTCGAGTTACCTCGGAAGTCAGAAGTCCGAGCTGAAAATGACGTCACACCCAAGTTCCGAGTGTTTCAGTTACCAAGATGGAACAAAGCTAAATCGTAGGCCTGAAACATGATGGCTACATCTACAAAAGCGGTTGCTTTATATTTGAACAAGGCGAGCGCTAAAATAACTTTCGTAGATGTAGCCATCTTGTTTCTGCTTTGATAACTAAATAGTAAAACGCTGGTAACTTGGGTGTGACACCATTATCATGGTGTTACCAGACCCAACAGCCACCTAATATTCGATTTGGCTGGCAGGTTGATCTAAATGAAATCCCCCTCAGTGTTGGACATTACAATAAGTTCATTACATAACAACACAGGAACGCTGCTTTATCTTTCCTCATGAATCAAGACGGCAGCCTTCACCACTGGAAGGTCTATTGAAACCACAATTCAGCCAATCAGAATCGAGTAATCACCTGGAACATGGTCCTGAAACACTGCTCCTTATTGGCTCCCTACAAATGCAGCATTTTAAAACATTTGTAAACAGTGTGAAAGTATAAATCACTGTACGTTATTCGAAGGTTATGAAGCGGTGCGATTCATGCAGTAGTTTGTTGCTCGACTCCCTCATCACAGGTTTCTATCAGTCAACACATGCACACAGGACGTTTAAATATAATCCATCTTCTTTACTCTCTTTCGGTATTTACAAATGATCATTTTACAGAAATATTACTTTAGATATATGGCTTTTCCACCATCTTTTACAGATCAAAAAATATACAAAAATAAAACTGCTTCTGTTTCTTCCATATGTCACAGTTCTGTCATCAGTCCTTCGCTGTTTCTGCGTGTTAGGAAGAGGTACGTGATTTCCTGTTCCGCTTCGCTCGACGTGTGGACGGAAATTGGATGAACTCAAAGTGTTTGCTTTGGTCCGTGTTGGGGAAGGGGGGCGGTCCCGTGTGCAGCCTTTTGATGAAGTGGACCTCTCTCTGGTTTTCTCTCGTCCTGGAGGCTTTGATGGGCCTCCCTTTCCTGGTAAAAGCCACATACCAGCCCTCATACTTGGCATTCTGGAAGGCTGTGTAATTGTTTTCCAGAACTTTCTCCGTAAAGATACAGTCTCTGCTCCGGCCATTGCGCTGCACAAGGAAACAAAAGAGGTTTCATCGGTTAATTCATGTCTAATGATTCATCAAAATATACAATAAAAAGTGATTTCTTGTCTCGATTTACTGTTTAAAACACTTTTGAGAACCGTCCTGATTGGACAGAATATGTAAGAGAAAGGCAAATGGAGAAGACTAAGGTTAGGGGTCAAGAAAAGAGTAGATTTGCCTGTTTATCATGTCCTTTTTTTTCACATTGACATTCATATTTATCCCTTTAATGCCTGAAACCACTAATTATGGCAAAAAAAATTCAAGATTTTTTGGAGCTGAAATGTTTTTTTCACTTACTACTGAAAACCGAAATTTTAAATAATTTGTTGATCATATTGATTTGATAGAAGCATCATAAAAGTATGTATCATACGTATGATACAAAAGGCATTAAAGGGTTCAATGGCTATTTTTGCTGTTGATAAATTACAATACTGAATATTGTATGCCTGCAATCATTAAAATTCAAAACTGGCCTAGCGGTCTAAATGCATCTCCTATACACAGAGACTATCCCTCAAGCAGACAAATCAGGGTTCATCCCAGCCTGTTGCTCCTTTCCCATGTCACTCCCTGCTCTCTCTCTTTCTGTTTCCTGCCTTGTCAACAGTCCTGTCTTCTCAGATAAAGGCCTTAAAAAAATCCATGAGTATTTTACTATGAAACAAAAGCTGTGGAACTGGTGTACCCTTGATTGAGCAAATTTTGACATGGCACAGTCAGTCAAAAAAACATGCAAAGCAATGTGAGAAAAAATGATCACAGCATACATTGGAAAAACATACACTTCTGATGCCGATCAATTTGTTTGGCCCATGTCAATCAACGCTCATCACACTTAAGGTCCTTTCACACTGGGACTGTTTTTGTCGTGCAATTATTTTGGACGTCAAAATTTTTTTCAAACCCATATCCTGTCAATACAAGCGTTCACATCAGCGACGTTTTCCCGTCCTGCGATACTGCAGCATTTATTTTTTCGTTTTACGGTCAATTTTTCTACAGTTTTGCATACTGTGTGTCCACTTCTGAGCAATCAGATTGCGTGTTGTTGCGACATCAGATTCACTGGTATAGCCGACATGGCCGACCGGCTGATTGTTTCCATGTCCGAGAACAGAGTGTTTTTTGATAAAAGACACAAACATTACAAAGATAACGACCTGAAGGACAAATTGTGGAGAGTCATAGCGTCGGATTTCTCATATGACGATAGTTTGTGTGCTTTAACAGTTTGCTAAATATCTTTGTTTTAACTTTCATCTGTGCTAAGTAACTTTATCTCGTAAGCTACCATTAGGTCTCAGTTGTTACCTTGCATTTATGGATTATAGTTGAATGTGCTTATCTTTTTTCCGCATTGCATCACGCTTGATGTGTATAGTCAGGCATGTCAATGTTCGCCCCTGAATATTTCATCATTTCGCATTGTATATTTGCGTCGTTCCCGGTGTGTAAGATTCCCATGAAAACCTTTTTTATTTTATTTTTTTAATTTTTTAATTTTTAATTTTATTTCTATTTATTTATTTTTTACCTGAAACGATCCAGTTAATCTCAAATTGAGAGACTATTTATTTATTTATTTCATTTATTTTTTTATTATTATTTTAATTATTTATCTATTTATTTATTTTATTTCAAATCAATCACTTCATAAAAACATGGTGAAAGCTTTGTTTCCTGTTTAAACCACTAATTTTTGGTTCGTATGCCATCAAATGAATACCCTCAACTATAAATCTCAATCACTGGTCTTATCTCAGTAGTATTGTCCTTAAAACGAAAACAAGAAAAAAACACCCTTTGATGCCACTACGATGACATACAGATTTACAACTCTTAATGTCTGCCAGATATGTGAATCCTTCTTTTCCATTTCCATAAAGGAAGGTCAAAGGTGACTCATGACCAAACATACAGGCAGTGCATGATGGGAAAAAAAAAAAGTTTCCCTTCACTGCTTTCAACCAATCAAACTGAGTGACCATCAGTCAGCGCTCTGAGGATTCCTTGTTTCCAGCACATCATGCCCTCGGACGACGAAAGATGATGAGAAGACAATGACAAAGGAGAGACGCCTAAGTGTGGGAGCTGCTGTGTTTGTTTTAATGGACGGGAGATCTGATAAGAAGAAGAAGCCGTGCGAGTTAAGGCTGAATACTCTCCGTAGAAGATCACAGATGGAGGAGCTGGATTCCTAATGTTGTCTCCTAATGTCATGAAAGACTAATTTGTGTCACATAGAGTTGATATGGTTTAAACGCCCATGTAATCCATAAAATTAACCTGTATTACAGAAGCCCTGATAGGCACATGGAATAAAAAACATCTAAAAAAGGTCTAATGGGACTTTTTTTCTGTTAGTTTAATGGATAATAAAGAATTAGGGAATTTTTTTTTAATCCAGGCCACTTTTTTCACTTTGTGTGTTTGTAATACTCATTTTGGCCACAAGGGAGAGAAACGTAAAGGTTCACCACATCCTGAAAAAAATCTTAAAGCTTTTGTGTTGTCTTTCAGGTGACTCTTCCAGCCACTCTAAGTAACTTCAACCATATTTTGTGCCTCAATATTGTCTCTGTATGACTCATAAAACCATACCTGACCATTAGAGACAAGGGTGATTGTTTTTTAAATGACTGCTGCAGGGTTGGTGTCAAGCAAAGTGATTTACAGCAAACTTTTCCGAACATATGCCTCAGCAATAACTCTCAATGAGAGATACTTTTGACCTCTCAAGACCGACTTCAATTTTGTTAAATGAATAAAAAACACCTAAACATGTACAAGACTTTAAGGGCTTACACACTTAATCTTTAGAAAGCACCAAAGACCACACATTGAAAATTCCTCACAGGAGCTTTAAGTTTGGTTGTTGTTATTTTTAAAGTCTGACTTCAGGAGAAAATCATTTTTATAAGGCTTAAAAAAAAAGAGTGAAAAGTTGTATTTCTCACTCAACCTTTAAGGCTTCTGTACTAATCAGGTCTGTTAGTTTTCTTGTTAACTTGATTTTTTCCAGTTAGACACAAATTAGTTAAAACACTTGAAATTTTTTAAAACTAAGAAGCTGTTTTGTCTCATTTTGGTAAAAGTATCTCATCTCACATTTTTCAGGTCAGATGAATTTCTCATTTTAACATACAAGCAAAAAAATAAGGCACGTGTCAAGTTTCTTCAATAAGGACAATAATCATTTTATACAGTAAATTTTGCTAATTTTACTCCTGTCGCGTTAAAATAACTTGTCAAACATGGCTTGTATTAAGTTTAGTTAGAGGCTTTCAATAGAGTTTTGCTGAGTTCAAACTACAATCTGAATTTTGGTTAATTCATTCAATCTGCAATCACTTCTCTTTTTAAGCACCGACAAATAATATAATAAGACATTTAAATGTTTTACCTTTCCAACCAGTTTCCCTTTGCGGTTCATGCAGAGGTAGCGTCCACTTTCAGCTCCTCTTATCCTCACTCGACTGCCAAAAGTGTCTGTCTCGACAAAAAGACGAGCTGCGGGATGAAAAAGAAGAAAGGAGGGAGTCAGGAAAGTGAAGGAAATAATGATTTGTTAAGGTAATAGTTCAATCAGCAAACATACAGCTCGCATAATGAAAATTATCTCAGAAATTAAACTTTGTTGTTCATGATGTTTATTTCGTAGGCTTTTCTGTCTCTTGTTGAGTTGTATATAAAGGAGTTTTTGGTATATTCATATGCTTGTTTTCTCACTGGGTAAACAACATAATGTATTCATTTAGACACATAAGGAAAGTGGCAAATAAGCTGAATCTTGCCTCTTAATGTCTGATTAATGAACTCTGAGCTGCAACCACAGAGAGTTAATACAAACTGTTAAGTAAATGAAGTAAACCTCTTGACACTAAACCCCCTGACACCAAATGATTACCCAAATGTTATGACTTCACACTAAGAGGCAGAATCTACATCCTCAATTGCATTTGTCCTGCGATGAAATGACGCTCGTTGGCATCACAACAACCATGTGTATTGGAGCTGCAGGGACAAAGAAGCGGTCCTAATCAGCTGTAAATTTGCCAGACGATGTCTCCTCATGGATGCAGCAGGGAGGGAATTAACATACAGGACTGAGAGCAGCTCACAGAGGGAGGGATGAGCGGGATAGAGGTCAAACTGATGATGGTGCTGCCTGAGGAAGTCAGAGCCCAGCAGGAGCTCAGAGGATAGACTAATTTTCACTTAATGCCTCTGATGAATACTGACACGTGATTGTGGTTTCTATTCCTTTACCAACAGCTTTGTTTGTGTCAAAATAAAAATCATACTCTTAAGTGCCAAAAGTGACAAAAGGTTTCTGCAAACAACAATGAGAATTGTGATTGTTGATTTCACAAACTGCCTTTTTGGATGGTTTTAACTTCAAACAATGAAGTTTTTTTTGTAATTGTACCCATAATTATCCAGTTGCACAAAACATCCATAAATGTGAGTAATTTGGGTTTGTTTGTTAAAAGGTTTTTAAATATACTGCATATTTAATTGATACTTTGCATATTTTTTATTTTTTATTTCATTTTAGGGGTTGTTTAAACACAGTATGCAGTGATATAATGAAGTGAGTGCTGTAGATTGAGCATTCAACACAACTGTATAAATGCGTAAAAATGTGATTTAGCTGAGATTGTGACCTTCTAATGTAATATTAATAATAACAACAACAATAATAACAACGCTAATATTATATATACTATATACTGGAACTGGTATGCATAAACATTAGAAATAAGAGCGCCAAGTTAGAGAAAGTATCGTCCATAATGTCCCAGTTTTTTGACTGACATTTAAAGTGAAGATTTTTTATGATAGCCAAAATAAACAAGACCATCTGTGATGAGATTGATGATTTTCTAAAATTGGGATTTTCAGTGCAAGAAGGTGTCAGCCATGCAGCTGAAGGAACTGCTCTGGTTTTACACTGTCTATGTAAAAAAAAATCACAATAAATGACACTTTGATTGGTAAAAGTTTTTCTAGGATACACTATTAAAGCATGTTCAAGGATAAGATGAGCAAAGACTGCTGTGTTCACAGGGGGCGCCAAATTAGATAAAAACTGAAAATTTCTCACAGGGGCCTCAAATATTCCAACGATTACGAGAGAGTTACTTTGAGCTTGTTTTGATTTTTGGAAATAACGCTGTAGCACACAGCACTACTCATTGAACTTGTTGGCAGTCTACACTGTGTTGCATTGCTATGATGTCACACCATTATGTGGCTGTATCAGATATCATCATCATCTGGCCGTCAGGATACTGTTGGCTGTGAAGAGCCAAGATCATGATTAAACTGTACCGAAGCAAACTGCACTGCTTGGTGAGAATACACCATAAGTACTTCAAAAAGACAAAGATATTAGCATTTATAAGATTTTATCAGCATCCTTTTTATCATTTTTCCTGTTTTTGTTCTCATAGTTGGTTTTATATCAAGAAAAGTGGCAAGTTTTTTGCAGTGAGCTTTGTGATATTGGAGACTTCAGTCCCTGTTTTTATTTATTTTTTGGTTGTTTGTTTTGTTGTTTTATTATTACTTTTTGTTTTCGTTTGTTTTTTTTATTATTTTTTATGTTGTTTAATTATTTTTTTATTATTTTTTTATTTTTTTGTTTTTTGTTTTTACAAATACAAAGAAGTTCCCACTACAGGTGGTCTTAAATGATCAGTTACCATGTTTGACAAAGACAACATCTATTTTGCAATACAAATTATTTTAACTAAAAGTTACAAACTATCCCAAAATGCAGAAAAAAAAATGTTTAAGTATGCTTTGTAAGTATACTTTATGTTAATAAGTACTTGTCAATATTTTTTACTTTATTTTGGAACTGGGGGTCAACCATAAATAGTTTTGAAATTTACAGATTTAAAAAAATACCAAAAAAATAAGCTTTTTTGTCGAGATCAGCAGTAAATATGCATGTTTAATAATCAAAAGGGAAACTTAAAGAAATGTCTTTAGGTTTTCTTTATTCTCTGTTCTTTTGATTAAGATTGGCCCGTCGAGTTCAATCAATGACCCTTGCGAGGCTCAACTTTTGGATGCAGCAGACAACAAAAAAAGGATCACAGGGTCTAAAAGCAGATCTGGTGTCAGCTCTTACCGTACATGTTTCCATCCTCAGCTGTGGCGGTGACCCTCTTGCCCTGAATCTGGACGTGTTTCCCGCTGGTGCGGCTGTAGAGCTGGTACACCCTGACCTGTCTGCGGCTCAGCTGGTCCGTCACTGCGCCCTGCGTCCTCACATACTGCTTAAAATTAGGAGACGGGTGATTCTCCCCCTTTTTTATGCAAAAGGGAAAAATGAAATGTATAATTTTTTTCTTTCTAATCTGCAAATCTGGGATGAAGAAGCAAACTGAGAGAGCCAATTTTATTTTATTTTTTAAAGTATATATGAGTTGAGTTTTCCTCTAAAACTTCTTTTATCTCAACTTTTGTGTCTAACTTTACTTTTGATTCACTCTTTCTATGATGCGTAAATATGGAAAAAGGTTTTGTGCGCTTACCTGAGCATGGCACCACAGCACGAAAAAGTGAAACGATCTGCAGGAGTGACAATAATATGAGGTGAATTGTCAATTTAAGACCTTAAATGAGCTAAATATACATTTAAATTAATCTAATCAGTTGTCTTACATGTAAATACAGCGCTGGTTTATTCCATACATTCTCCTTTTTATATCATCGAATCAGATAAATCCCAGCAGGATGCGGTAAATAATTCCAGCGGAGCTCCCCTATCCATCCACGCCAGAAGACCCTCTTTAAAAAAAAAGTTATATCCCCTCACTTTTCCCAAAAACCTGAGCCGGCTGACTGAGGAAAGGTGAGGACATGTTCAGGAGATCCGCGCTGTGCGTAAAAATCAGATCCATCCTGATTTGGTCCTGAAGCTCATTAGATTTTTGTCCATATCTCCGGGAGTAAACTGTGAGGATTCCCCGGCGTCCGAGAAGATCTGCCTGGGTTGAGTTCAGGTTTTGAAAAGCCCTCTGTGTCCCTGAGATCAGGCTGCTCACTGGTTAAATGTAGAAAGACATGTAACATTCCCCTCCCTGAAATGTGCAGCAGGCTGAGGTGGGTGGGCACAGCAACATGACCCCCTAATAATGATTTAACAGGGAGAGGCAGATGTGTGATTCGAAGGATTCAGTCACAGACATCAAAAACAATCAACTAATTATTGATCAATTCAAACAGATCAATCGTTTAATGCTGCATAACAACCTGCAATTCTTCACAGAGTTTGAGATCACTCAAAATCTATCCTTTAGTCTGAGTTTAAGTAGGTCATGAGAGTAGTAGTATGGTATTTAAATGTCAGATGCTTAGTGCCACCTTATGGGTGTGGCAATTAGGTGTTGAAGAGCCCCCTCCACCCTTCTTTTTAAATAGTGTTAACTGGTCACACTTCCAGATCAGGAAGGAGGAAAAAACAAATCATACAGACAAAAGGCCTGTTTCATCTCCATATTAGAAGCAATCAACATCTTCTGAAGATGGGCAGGACCGCTTTACCCTCTTCTCTGATAACATTTAATTAACACAGAGGAGGTAAAAAAGAAGGGGGACAGTTTATATCTGTCTGTGCTTATCTGACAATACCTGATTAGTAAAAACATACAGATGTGTGAAGTTTTTAACCCTAGAACACTATTGCTAAAATTTGTAACACCATCACTATCACTGGGCGATTTAAACCCAATATAATATACCCAAGAAAAAGTACTTGTCATCAACATATATCAAAATAGGACAATACATGACAAATTAAAGTGGTTTTATTTTATTTTTAACTGTGCAATGTCCAAATAGAGGGGAAAAAGTGCCATAAGAGGACCAGATAAAAATGCAACAAAATAACAGAAATTAGGCATTCATGAACAAAAAAATCCTAAAAAAAAAACTGTATAAACTTTAAACTTACTTTGTTTTCCACCCATTCCTGGGGCATGTGAGTCTTTCCTGGTGAAGACTCAGGGTCTTTGGTACATAAACAGCTGCAGGAGAGAGAACCAAAATATGTCAGATTTTGAGTAAGTAGGAGTAAAAATGACCAGCTGACTAAAATATTTCTTATCACCATATGAATTCCCTTGAAAATCACTACTTTGTGATGCTTATTCATAACCACTGCGCTGAATAAAGATAGCATGCAAATTCCAGGACCACTCTGACCTTATTCCCTACATGCAGCTATCAGATCCACCCAAACCTACTTTACCCTCCATCACTAAAATCACCCGAACACATGCCTGTGGGAAAAAAGCAGGTTTTGGATCAGGGAAACAACTTTGCCTTCTTTTGATAGACTTTATTCCTACAGCAGCCATCTTTCCGGGATGTCATGCTCAGAATGGGATGGCAAGATATGACCATGTCTTGCTGATAAACCTTTAGTATCTGAGACGTTGTGCTCATCCACAACTCCTGAGACAATATATAAGTGCACTCTCTGTGTGTATGCTAGACAAAGAGACTGAAAAGAGGGTTCACTCCATTTATTCCTCTATGGAACAAACACACTCAGGTGAACCCTCATGTCATCCAGCCTGTTTGGAGGCGAAAGATGAGAAAACAAAAATTATCGTATTCAGTTTCATTTATCATCCGTTTAATTGATTTATTGATTATCGGCCCCAGGCCTAGCAAGACATGATAACTTAACCCTGAACCTGATATAACAAGCAGATTAAATTAGTAAAAAGTCAGTATAATGAGCTTTTTCTCAGGTGTATGTCTAGTTTAAGCTGATACCAATGAGTCATGGGTAATAGATAGTCAGCTTCTGGTGAGGTGAGGTAGATTCCCAACACCTGAAGTGAAGTGGATACACAGATATAAAGCCTTTTTTGGCTTTTGAGTGTCTTTTGTAACACTTCAATGTTGTTCAATGTCTCTTTGCTGCAATTTACTTTCTCCTTTTATGTTGTTTTACGGTTTATTGTGTACTTTTGTTTGTTTGCACAGTAGAAGTTTTTTAATATGGTAGTTTTCAGTTGTACATTTAACAAGATGTTTTGTGTCTCTTCACAAACATTTCTCTCTACCATCAAGTCTTGTGGTTCTTTGTTGTGTTGAACATTTTCTAGTCCTGATACGTCTCTTTGAGGTAGTTTTTTTTTTTTTGTTTTAGAGTTTTATGCCTTTTTGATTTCTTTTGTGTCTGTCTCTTGGTGTTTAGTGACTTTTTGTAACTTTGCATTTCTTTTTCATTAGTTTTTTTGCTGGTGTCTCTTTCGTCACTTTGTATCCCAATTTGATTGTTCTTCTTTGTCTTATATATTTAATGTCTTATATGTATAATTTCATATTTAATATTTATGATTTTGTCATTTTGAGACTCTTAATTTGCTTTTCTCGTCCATTGAAAACATTTCCTTTAGGTCACTTTGTATCCCTTTCATGTTATTGTTTTATTTTTCTGTACTTTGTAACCTTGTGGCTGTTTAATGTGCTTATAAATAAGAATCAAGGGCCACTTCAAATAAAGCCAGAGGCCCCCTGACCCCTCAGGCCCCTGAGTCTGTACCTTGTGGATTCTGTTGGCAGAGTTTGTGTCTATGAACAACAGTGTAACTTGAAGCTTCAAGTGCCTTCACATCTTACCCTTCTCACGTTCTCTTGACCCCTCCAGCACCTTCGTCACCCTTGTCCTGGGCAATAAAGTGATAAAATGCAGCAGTTAGGCACCTCTAACATGTTGATCTGCTTCTGACAAGAGCAGCATCTGATTCCACTCTTCTAACTGTAAGACACACTGTCAGCTTGTCAGTCCATCAATCAGGTCTGCTCATGTATCACAAAAACTAACACTGTTTAAACATGTGACAGAGCTACAGTGTGATTTATAGCATGATGCATGAAGCAGAAAGTGAGTCTTTACTCACATGTCCTCACACTGATCATGCATATCCAGGAAATTCTCAAGGACAACTTTGCTGGAGTTGCTGTCATCTATTGAAAGATCTCTAAATTCACAAGGATTTTTATGTAATATACACAGTAGAAAGAGTGAAAAGATGAGATTGGGCCTCATCTCAGAACCAGTCAGCTGTGGTCTAACTTAGAAAAACAAACAACTTCTTAGAGCATCCAAGAAAAAAGAGAAATACTCTGCAATAAAGGACTTGTGCGGACGTTAATATTTTTTTTCAAACTTGTATCCTGTCAATACAAGCGATCACATCAGTGTTGTTTTCCCGTCCTGCGATATTACAGCATTTATTTTTTAGCATCACAGTTGATTTTTCTAAAGTTTCGCAGACTGTGTGTCCACTTCTGAGCAATCAGATTGCGTGTTGTTGTGACGTCAGATTCACCGGTATATCCAACATGGCAGACCAGCTAATTGTTTACGTGTCGGAGAACAGAGTGCTTTTTGATACAAAAAACACAAACATTACAAAGAAAATGACCTGAAGGACAACTTGTGGAGAGTCATAGCGTCGGATTTCTCATATGACGATGGTTTGTGTGCTTTAACAGTTTGCTAAACGTCTTTGTTTCAACTTTCATCTGTGCTAAGTAACTTTAGCTCGTAAGCTAACCTGTTCAGATACAACATACCATATGTATTTTCACTGTCTCATGTTGATGTGACAGCACCATTAGGTCTTGGTTGTTACCTTACGTTTATGGATTATAGTTTTAATGTGCTTATCTGGTACTGGCCCCGACTCAGTACATGCTATCATGACAGACAGTCATCTCAACACTAGTGTCTAATCAGAACTGACTATCAGTCTGGTGTTGTGTCAGTCTTCTCGCTTCCACCTGGGACGCGTCTTTTTTTCCCCCAGGAAAGTCAGAAAATCGCATCATGCTTGATATGTGTAGTCAGGCGTGTCAAAATTCCCCTCTGAATATTTCATAATTTTGCGTCGTTCCCGGTGTATAAGGACCTTCAGTGTGTAGAAATTGGAATATTTTGGCATTTAGATGCTAGACTGAAGCCCTCCCTTGCTCACCCCTCCTGTTGAGCTACAGTGAAACTCTTCTAATGCACGATAAGTATGATCCTACAGTTGTCAAATTTGTAACATAAAAAAATATCCACCAATCTCAAATCTTTCGCGGACAACAACAATCTTTTTTTTTTTTAAATCATATTTCAACTGGTGCATTTTGTGCGACCACTCACTCAAAACAAACAAAAACGTACATGTAATTAGTTTGACAAATCTGTGCGAGTGTGAAAACACATCGGTGCAGAATGGTGGAAATGGATATAAAAAGCTTATTCTGGAAAATATATTTTTTATGTTTAGGTGTTTTCTATTATTACATTTACAAAATGCAAAGTTAAAATGTTTGGTGCTGAAACTTGGATAATGCAAATTTTTAATTCATGAGGTAAATCTTTGTTGTCATCATCCTAAAACCGCTTGGAACGGTTCATTGGGAAATCACACGAGATCTCACCAAGACTCTTTGAGACTCATGAGGTCAGTGCAATAGGCTCTCCATGCATCTGGCACAGTGGAACGACCCTCCCCCTGCAATGTGCGAGGTGATGTCCACAACATACGCTACTCTGATGATTACAATAAAGGGGGCGGCCGAAAAGTCTGTTCTGTTAAATTCTGGTAAATAAACACTTTTTCCTCAAACCTGTTCTAAATGACAGTATCATTCCCCCTTCGTCTCTCTCGACATCATACTTTCGCAAAGTTTCCCAGCCCTTAAAAAATGGTGGGACTTGTCTCCCATAGAGCTGGGTCTTCCTCAGGCAACTGTAGCTGCAGTGACAAGTGAAAGGGGAACTGGTGGTCTCCAAACAGCTCTGACCACATCGTAAAAATCTCTGCCATAAAGAGCAACTGGCCACTCTTTCTGACCCTGCAAACTTAGAGGCAAGGGTTCAAAAAGTGGGTGGTCCCCTTTATGAATGATCAGAAAAAAGAGAAAAAGTTAAAAAAAAGAAAGAAAAGAGGAGGATTCACATGGACAAGCAGCTCTCATCATCACCATCATCATCAGGAGGGCTCTTCTTGTCCTCCGAATCAACCACCAAATCCA